AATTGGACATGGCTTTGGGGCTAACGCTACCGTCCACCGGCTACGCTGACGACCGCCAGCTAGCTGACCGCCAGCTAGCTGACGACCCCCCCCCCCCCCAAAAAAAAAAAATGACCCCCCCCCAAAAAAAGACCCCCCAGAAAAAAAACAAGACCCCCCCCCAAAAAAAAAGACCCCCCCCCCCAAAAAAAAAAGACCCCCCCTCCCAAAAGGGCTCCATTACAGTTTTTTCCTACACTCAGCTGCTTCCCCTCACCATAGGCCCTTTTTCAATTTTTTTTGAGGAATCCATTGACATATTGTGATTTGGAACCCTTTCCCATACATCAACAACACCAACAATAATTATTTTATCACACCAAACTTTGAGTGAGATGAAAATGGGTTCTAACATCAGTTTTTTTCTTTTTCAAAGATTTATAAAAAAAAATTAAAAAAAGCACTAGCTGGGAGTCGAACCCGATACCTTCCAGTTGCCAGGCGTTTGCCTATCCACTAGACTAATGTGTCACACTGGTAATCTCCATGTATTTTTTCATATTGATACTTATTGTTGTAGATGTAGCAAAAGACGTATTATAACTTATTCAGAGAGTCGCTTGTTAAAGAAAGAGTATCAAATTTTATTTCCTCCTTTATTGAGGAGGTGGGGGGGGGGGGTGTCCCCTTTAAAAAAAGGAGATGGACACGTCAATATCATGGGGTAAAGAAAAAAAAATTAAAAAAAATAACATGAGGTAGAAAGAAGAAGCTGGGAGTCGAACCCGAGTACATACATACATTGCGTTGTGAAGCGATCAGTCTTTTCCACAAGACCACTTTGCCTCACTGCTACTAACTGGTTCGCTTCTTGGTCTTATAGCACTTTCTGCATGTTAACGACTTTAATATGTTGATTTACTGATTTAACGATTTCGGGATGCATAATTATTCATATTTTTGCAGTCCGATGTTGTCAAGATTGCCCGTAAATGTTTTCTTTCAGTTACTGATATTTCTGATATAATAGTGAGGTTTTATGTTATTTTCATTTATTTTGCAAACTGCCGACTTAAAGTTAAAGTGATATGACAATAGGCCACTGCCCTGACATAGCATAATGAACAGAACACGGATCTATTCCATTTAGGATATGCTACGAATTCTATAACAGGGCACCAATGAATAGGGAAGCTTGGCTATTCGATTCCGTGTTCAATAGCTTGCACCTGCAATGTTTGAATAGTTACGTAACACATTATTCAGCTCTTTCTGACATGGCATCAATTAAAGAATTGAGAAAAAAACCCGACCCTCCCTTCATTGACGGAATATTTTTGTCAATTGCGAGGATTACATGAGAGGTAATAATAGCATTCCTGACGTAATGGTATCGAAATATAAGAAAGGAAAACAAGTTCAGTTCAAGACAGTTCAAAATAATGCTGGGAAATGGAAATTAAAATGATACCGTTTTAAAAACGAGTTAGATATGGTTTTTGGACAAGAAGCATGAGATAATTCATTGCTCGGCAATCGGGACTGTATTTGAAACAGAGCATCCAATATTCCTGATATTTAATAGTATACTGTCAATGAAAAAAATATAACTAAAAAAAAAATAATAATGGACCTCTTTACCCAAGGCTGTGTGTCTTTGTCGAGCACAAAATGATTCTGCTCGGGTATGCAGGCCAGTTGTTAGCCCATATTGGGCTTGAATAGGCTTGAATTGAAAGACCCTTTGTTTCACCTCGCGAAGTTTGGGCGTTTTCATAGGAGAGTAAAACCTTGCCCATCATTGAATTCATGTTGTAAAGTTGTTTACAGACTGGAAAAGGATAGCATGGGAGTGTACATATTGAATAAATGGATGTAAGTAGTACTGAAAATGTAAAAAACTTGTTTAACCTGGCAATAAGGGACTCTTGAATGTAGTTTAAAAATTGGACATGGCTTTGGGGCTAACGCTACCGTCCACCGGCTACGCTGACGACCGCCAGCTAGCTGACGACCGCCGCCAGCTAGCTGACGACCGCCGCCAGCTAGCTGACGACCGCCGCCAGCTAGCTGACGACCGCCGCCAGCTAGCTGACGACCGCCGCCAGCTAGCTGACGACCGCCGCCAGCTAGCTGACGACCGCCGCCAGCTAGCTGACGACCGCCGCCAGCTAGCTGACGACGACCGCCAGCTAGCTGACGACCGCCAGCTAAAAAAAGACCCCCCCCAAAAAAAAAAAAATGACCCCCCCCAAAAAGACCCCCCAGAAAAAAAACAAGACCCCCCAAAAAAAAATAAGACCCCCCCCCAAAAAAAAAGACCCCCCAGAAAAAAAACAAGACCCCCCAAAAAAAAATAAGACCCCCCCCCCAAAAAAAAAAGACCCCCCCCAAAGGAGCTCCATTACAGTTTTTTCCTACAATCAGCTGCTTCCCCTCACCATAGGCCTTTTTTCAAGGTTTTTTTTGAGGAATCCATTGACATATTGTGATTTGGAACCCTTTCCCATACATCAACAACACCAACAATAATTATTTTATCACACCCATGGGTGTCGATACTTACGTAATACCTATTCATCAGGGGGGGGGGGATGAATGAATAGATCATCCCCCCTGATGAATAGGTATCAGTTACGGATCGACACCCATGATCACACCAAACTTTGAGTGAGATGAAAATGGGTTCTAACATCAGTTTTTCTTTTTCAAAGATTTATTTTTAAAAAAAAGCACTAGCTGGGAGTCGAACCCGATACCTTCCAGTTGCCAGGCGTTTGCCTATCCACTTAACTAATGTGTCACACTGGTAATCTCCATGTATTTTTTCATATTGCTACTTATTGTTGTAGATGTAGCAAAAGACGTATTATAACTTATTCAGAGAGTCGCTTGTTAAAGAAAGAGTATCAAATGTTATTTCCTCATTTATTGAGGAGGTAGGGGGGGGGGGGTGTCGCAACACAATTGGAAAAATGATTAACTTTTAATATCTGGCTTTTGGGCTTTAAAACAAAATACACTACCTGGGGATCGAACCCGATACCTTCCACTTACTAGGCGATTGCTTATCCACGAGACCACTTTGCCTCACTGCGATTACCTGGTTCACTTTTAGTTCTTAACACTGTGCTTTTAGTTGTTAACACTTTTAGCTAGCTGACGACAGGCGCAGCTATACCCCCTAAAGGCAGACGCGGATCCAGGGGGTCGGGAGGGCCTTGCCCCCCCCCCCCCCCCGCAAAAAAGAGAGAGAGAGAAGGAAAAGAAGGGAAAGGGAAAGAGGAGAGAAAGGGAAAGAAAGAAGAGGAAGAGGAAGAAGAAGGGAAAAACGGGGGGGGGGGGGGGAAGAAGCAGATCAAGGGCCGAAAGGGTCTTGGATCCCAGCTGTCACCCCCCCCCCCCCCTCCCCCATTACAAAATAAGAGAGAATGATGAAAAGGAAAGAAAAAGGAAAAGAAGAGATAAAGGGAGAGAAAAGAAGCGGGATATCAGTTGCAATTTTGCCGCCAACAAGTTGTAGTTCAGAGGGGCCAAAAGGCCCTAGACCCCACGCCAATTAACGCTACGGTCTGCCTTATCGTAAATACCACTCCCCCAACCTACTTAGAGAAACGTTCAGCGAGGCCTGCATGAAAAGTGGGTGGTACGGTTTTTTTTTCTACCCCCCCCCCCCCCCCAAACGTTTTTGCTCATTTCGCCACTGCCGGTGTCACCATTACGTACCAATATTTGGCTAGCATAATTTCAAATTGGGCCCCCCTAACAAATTCTAGCCCCCCCAAAGAGGCTCCTCAACAGTTTTTTTTTTCTACACTGCCCCCCTCCCCCACCTTAGGCCCATTTGTTCTTTTTGAGGAATCCATTGACATATTGTGCTTTGGAACCCTTTCCAATACATCAACAACACAAACAATAATTATTTTATCACACCAAAATTGGAAAAAATGATTAACTTTTAATATCTGGCTTTTTGGCTTTAATATAAAATACACTAAAAGAAAAATTGTAACTGATCTCCCCTACCTTTCTTCTTCCTCTCCCCCCCCCCCCATTCCCTTTCCTTACTTCTCTCACCCTCTTTCATTTAAGTTTGGTGAGGGAGGCAGGGGCCTTTCGCCCCTCCCCCCGATCCACACGATGTTGATGGGATTAATCGCAACTGATCACTGCTTCTTTTCACCCTTTTTTTTTTTTACCTCTTTTGTGTTCCATTTTAGCTCTCCTCTTTCCCTTTCCCTTCTTTCTCTCTTTTTTTTTGGCGAGAAGGGGGGGGGGGGGGGTTGGTCTGGGAGGGGGGGGGGGCAGAGGCAAAGGCCTTTCTCCGCGATCTTGGGGGGTAGTGAGCACCCTTTTTTGGGGGCCCTCCAAATTTTAACAATTTGCACCCCCCCCCCCCCCCCCCATCCCCCTACTAGACCCGCCACTGCCTGTAGTTTCATCCCTAGCTAGCTGGTTAAGCTGAGTATGGGTTATCCAGTCGTTTCATTCATTAAGTATAATTATATCTGTATCAGGGATATGAGAGTATATCCCTATTTGTTTTGACTATGTATACGTGTGGACTAGAGTACGGACATTCGGTGCGGCAGGCGGACTATTGGTGCGAGACCTCCTCAGCACAGATTGTCCGTCAGACATTTGAGGCGCGCACGGAATGTCCGACACGGACATTCTGCGCGGATAAAATCCGCACCGATCGTCCGCTCTCGATCGATCTCTAATAGTCGGACGATCGGTGCGGGTTACATTTTACGCGGTCACACCGGCGCCTATGACCACCACCACCACCACCACTACGTCTGCTACCAGGGGGGGGGGGGGGGGGGGGGGGGGGGGGGTTATTGGGGAATTGCACATCTTTGCATGATCCGTGTTTATATTTTGGAGACTAGTCTATTAACAGTGTCTCATATTTAAAAACGAAATCAGATATCATGTAGACCTACTGCGGTTTATTTATTCCTTAAAATATTGCATTGAAATCATGAATTAAATAGGTCTAGGGTCTAGTTTGAAAATGTGCTAAGAGGTAAATCACATTTGTGATCGAATGTCATACTTATTGTTGAATTTCAAAGAAAAATATTAATTTCAGCGTCTGATGCAAATCTTAGTTTGCTGAGTTGTGATCGTGAACGTGTAACTTTACGCAAACTGTTGTGTGTTTAAATTTTGTTTAAATTACGGAATCGACGTTATTCTGGATTTTCTCGACTTCGGTTTTCGCAATCACCTGATCCTGTATTACGGAGGATTTGTTTCAAGAAAATATGACAGTCTGCATGGTAATGTAGCCCTACTAATTAGTATAAATCTTACTGTTATTAATCCGTAGGCGTGAATACAGTCTAGGCCTACATGTAGGCCTACAGGGAATGGCTTACATCGAAAGGGTGCGGTGCGGTGCGGCGCGGTGTGGTGAGTTCAAAGGAAAGAGAGCGAAAAGGGAACAAAAAAGATGAAGAAGAAAAGAAAAGGGTGAAAAGAAGGGGAGATCAGTAACGGTTAATCCCGCCAACAACGAGTGGATCGGGGTGAGGGCCGAAAGGCCCTTGCCTCCCCTACCAAGAGAGAGAGAAGGAAGGGAAGGGAAATAGGAGAGAAAGGGAAAGAGGAGAGAAAGGGAAAGAGAAAGAAGAAAGGTAGGGGAGATCATTTGCAATTTTTCCCGCAAACAAAGTATAGATCGGGGGGGGGGGGGGGGTGGCACTGGCGTGCTGAAAGGGGAGGAGGGGGGGGGGGGACTTGGTATGAATAACATTCAAACGTTTATAAACGTTTATTAGCTTATCAACACTAGTGTGGCTAGGAGAGATTAGTCCACACAGCAAGGACACTGACATTTAATTAATATTTACTTCTTTTGAGGTATGTTTTAGTATAGATCTCCATGCACGCCGGAGCTACGGGTCAAATTTTGGCTAGACTTCTGAAACTCGTGTGACGTGTCATATTAAAGATAAACATGAGTTCTGGTAAAAATTCCAATAATAATGGAATGCGCACACAGGGTATCTGGTAGGATTAGTGATAGGGTATAATAATGTGCAGGGTATTCTGCAGTTCCTCACCTGGCTGGCAGAAGGGTGTTAGCTCGAATTTCAGGTCAATAATAACATTTTAAGCAGAAGGGCTTTAGCACTAAATCGCCTCAAACTCTTATAGAACTGACTTATTTCTGAGAAAATGGTGTGTTCTACTACAACTAGGGTGTCTGATCGCGCACCCGATGTTGTGTGCTAAAATTCTTCCCATAGAGATTACACGCATCCCTATGCAGTCTACGTGCATTGCGCGACCATGCAATCAATTTTTTTTTTTCAATTCGAGATTCAAACCTTTATCTGTTGTGATCCTGAAGGTGATAATCAATAAATGAGGTGTCATATGAAAGAGCAGGTGAATTCCAATATTTCCCAAGGGGCGTAGCCCCCGAAATTCTAAAAATATCTTGGTCAAAACAGCAATTGAAACATTGTGTCCTGGCTAACTCTGAGGTTTGTCACTTTTGAGATATGACGCCCCGATCGATAAGTAGTCCCAGTCCTAAGGAACAATTCTATGTGCTTATTTTTTCGCTAGCCCCCAGGGATCACAACTGATAACAGTTTAAAAATACCCTTCTCGCTATTTGGTGGATCAGCTAATTAGGGGGCGTGCGCTCCGCTCAGTCCAAACCATGGTTACATCGCGTAACATCTCCGCGTACGAACGAAACCCCAAATTCAAGTATGGGTGGCCATTCGCGGCATAGAACCCGGAAGTGAATACACGTTATAGTCAATGGCAATATCGCGGAGACATCTCCGCGATATTGCCTTTGACTATAACGTGCATTCACTTCCGGGTTTATTGTGCGACGAACGCCAACCATACTAGTCAATGGCACATGTCGCGGAGACAGCGTAGCTCAAGCTGCAAGTCGCGGATTGGCTTAGCAGCATGCGTACGATATGCATACGCTTGCATATCGCGCGATACAGCTGTTTGGCTAAATTTAGCAAAACAACATCACTCTGCGTGGACGTCTTTTTCGTCGATTTTGACCAAAATGATATGAATATACCAGCGTCTTGGAGGGGCTGTAACTTTTGATAGAAACATCGGTGAGACTTGAAATTTGAAATGTATTATTCTGATAACATTTTTTATTCAAATATCAAACAAAAATGGTGAAAAACGATCCCAAATTGAAAATTGAAAAATCGTTCAGACACCCTACTACAACATTTCTATTAGTCTTTTATGTTTTAAAGACCGTCACCACTACTGGGCCAGAAGGGATTAGACCACACAGAGAGCCATCGAGGTCACTGTGACAGGTGGCTATCTCATTAACTCAGCTCTCATTTAACATAAGAAAAAGAGGATCATGGGGGACCAACAGGCACCGATTGGGGAAGTTTTCTATATAGAGGGAGCAAGTAGCTACAAGTATGGCAGTGTGCCTTTAAACCAATTTTGGGGACGGAAATCAGTTTAGATATAAAACAAATCTTTAAATGCGAATAATTCGAAAAGTACTTTTCGAGTCGCTCCCTTCTGCCACCTGGCCAACAAGTTGTTCCAAAAATGAAATGAATTCTCACAGAATCAAACGAAACTTACACTGAATGTTCAAGATTACAAATAAATGTCATTTGTCCAACAATGTTGGTAGAAAATGTATACTGGCTGAGTAATGAGCATAGAAAGATAAGGAAAGCAAGTTAAGTAGGCATGACACCATTTGTGTAGTCCCATATACATCTTTCTGTGTCCAGTGCTTGTTACTTTACCAAGACTGGGCCAAATTTATTATGATTTTGATGACTCCAGAACCTTGCAGAACACACCAATACTTGGATGCTAGATGATCAACCTTTTCTGATCGATTCCACAACATTTCTTTCACAATGCAATTGCATGACCACAACTCAACTTTATCTTTAAGGTTGGACTTTATCAAAAAGGGAGTAATAATTATTCTCCCTTTCTTTTTCCTTTCCACACTGTAGAGTGTAGAGAATCCAGCTGACACTGACAGAGAAGTTCAACGTATAATTGACCTTGGTGAATTGGTCCTTGCCTCAAGTTTGACCTGAAGTTGACCTGAAGAACATTGGAATAAATTTGACAAGGGACCTGGGCAAGGTGGGAATCGTATCCAGCTAAAACTCAAGTTAAATCTAGATTTAGAAGAGTGTTCCTAGCATTATCTAGAACCAGTGCAGCTGCAGTTGCAAATGGATTGAGAAAAAAACAAGGCAGCATCTTTTTTCACCACAAATTCTAAGAACCCAAGCCATCATGGCGGATTTGAAATCAGATCTCCAGTCGTACCTTTCGACCTCGTCCAAGTCCCTCTCCCAATCTAGCGGTTCCTTGTCGTCTGGAGCAAAGAGCACCATGAACTCAATGACATCCTGGTTCTCAGGGTCAAAGGACGGCCACAGGGACGGTGATGTGGAAGCATCAGGAAACCTGCTGACTGGTGGTACACCCAAAGAAAGCAAGGATGGAGGAGACACTAACGGCTGGTTCACACAAGCAGAAAAAGATCCATTCTGTCCATCTTTGGTAAGATTAAGTGTACTGTAAAGCAGCTTTGCCGCTAAATATATCACGTATGTGTGTGTGTGGGGGGGGGGGGGGGGAGGGGACAATGGGTCACATATGTAGGTGTCTCCAGAAAGAAAGAAAACAATCTAGTGGCAAATTCTCCCTCATATATTTAAAGGTAAAGACCAGTATTGGAAATGCCCCAATTTCAAAAAATGAAATGGAAGCTCTCATTAACAATCATGTGAAAGAATATGTTTTGACTAATACATGATGATAAAAAATTTGCCGGGAAACCGCCTACTAATTCATATATTTGGTAAATTTGTTTCTCTCATGGTCTGTAAGAGATATAGGGTAGTCCCATATACATCTTTCTGTGTATAGTGCTTGTAACTTTACGAAGAATGGGCCAAATTTCTTATCATATTGATGATTCCAGAACCTTGCAGATGCTAAATGCTAGATGATCAACCTTTTCTGATCGATTCCACAACGTTTCTTTCACAATGTAATCGCATGACCATAACTGGTCTTTACCTTTAATGAAATACGTACATCTGGTCTACATTTTGAATGTGCAGATGAGCTTTGATCCTACCAAACCACATCCTGAGATGCTGCAAGTCCATATATTACTCAGTTTGAACCAAGTGTAAAGCAAACTACATGTTGTCATCCTGGCTAATATATACATGTAGGCTATACACATGGTCTTTGAGATGTGTGTCTCTCAAAATTTCATATCTCGACCAGTGATGTCAATTTTTTTCAATTGACTTGTGTGAAAATCCTGAAATGAATTATACATTGCACTGATGTACATGTAGCTGTGAACTCCCCAAGACTTTAGTCCAATCAACTAACAGCCCTTGAGACTTTCTCGGTTGCTGTCAAATTTTGGTTAGGGATTAGGTGACCGACATTGTTAGTCTTGCGGGTGTGATCTCTTTCATGGACTATTGCTCAACTTCAGCTAAAGTGAGAACTGAGAGTTCCCCCTCTATAATTCATCCATCTTCATTACTTTTCATTTTCTAAGATACATGATCGTGTAACTGGAATTTCTATAATTCATCCATCTTCATTACTTTTCATTTTCTAAGATACATGATCGTGTAACTAGAATTTCTATAATTCATCCATCTTCATTACTTTTCATTTTCTAAGATACATAATCGTTTAACTGGAATTCTTGTTGCTTTGAATTAACACAGAGTCGTCAGCAGAGGATCATTGGTTTCATGGGGTGTCTTGCTGCTGGTGTGTTCTGTTTTGTCCTGGCCTGGACCTTTGCTCCACTCATCGTTGTCAAACCTAGAAAGTTTGCTCTTCTCTACACATTGGGAAGTGTCTTCTCTGTCGGCAGGTAAGATTGTAGTGGCAGTGGATTGAGAAGGCACATGCCCCCCTCCTACATTCTACATCCTCCCCCGCCATGATAGAAAGTACTCTTCTCTTTTACATTCGGGGCCGTCCAGAAAGTTGGGGGAATTTTTGTAACATACCAGAAGTGAGAAACTATGTCTCCTATCAACTTAACAATGTTTGCTCAAATAGAGTTTTGCATAAAAAGCAAGCTTCATGGTGAATCAATATTATGGACCCAAAGTTTATGTAATGATAAATGAATATGGTGTCAATGTAACGCTGGCAAAAAGAGAAATGTATATTAATCAAAGATTTTGAAGAAAAGCAACTGAAACAGGAACAATTCTGGCAGGGCACTACTATATATATTCATTGCATAAAAATCTTCAACAAATCAATTCATCTTCCATGCGTAGTTGAAGATTTCATACCCAGATTACATAAACACCATCATATTTTTTGCCCCAACTTTATGGAATGAAAATGGAACACTGAATTTTGAAGGCTTCCTTGTATTAGTAGAGATGTCATGTAGTAGAGTGGTTTAAGCACCTGATTGAAAATGCGAAGGTTATGTCTGAATAAGTGTCGTTTTGCATTCATCTACCCTTATCATTCTTGACCTACATGTAGGGCAGGTTAAAGATAAACTTGAGTTCTGGTAAAAAAAAGAAAATGAATTCTCACAGAATCTAACGAAACTTACACTGAATGTTCAAGATTACAAATAAATGTCATGTGCCATACAATTTTGGAAGAAAATGTATACTGGCTGACTAATGAGCATAGAAAGATAAGGAAATCAGGGTAGTACTAGCCCAACACCATGTGTGTTGTCCCATATACATCTTTCTGTGTAAGTGATTGTTACTTTACCAAGACTCTGCCAAATTTATGATGATTTTGATGACTCCAGAACCTTGCATTACACACCATTACTTACATGCTATATGATCAACTTTTCTGATCCATTCCACACCTTTTCTTTCACAATGCAATCGCATTACCAGAACTCAAGTTTATCTTTAATGGCTACTGGATAGGAAATAATTAATAAAGTGATTTTCTCAGGGCTATAATCTAGTGACAATTTCCAAAGTTCTTTTGGAAGCGCATACAGATGTATATCATTTTATACGCTCCACAAGAATGGAATATTGTTATCAAATTTTTGGAATATTCTTTATGTTTTGATTTGTATGTTTCTTATCTTTTGTTCCTTGCAGTTTTTCTCTCCTCTGGGGTCCAATGAATCATCTGAAACATCTTTGTTCTGCACAGAGATTCCCTTTTACAGCGACGTACTTTGGCACAATGTTTGCTACGCTTTACTTCTCCATGATAGTGAGTATGACCTCTCAGTTTTGGTTAAATCCTGGAACCTGTAACGGGTTTGAATCAGGCCTGATAAAAATCTTGATTTGAATCGGTTTCCCAATTCTTTCATTTTTTCCAGATTTTTTTTTTTTCCAGATTTTTTTTTTACCCTATTAAATTTTTTTTGAAGCCAGTTTCAAGATGCATAGTAGTGGACTCTCATGGGGAATTTGACACCTTTCGTGTGTTAACCTAATAAAAAGTGCTGTCAATCACAAGGATTAGCCTTCACTTTTATGACCAATAGGTCTTCATCAGCTCGAGATTGCAAAATATTCCGCTATTTGAACTATCCCGATCGTAATTTGACCAGTTAATTTGCATCTTCATTATCCCGAAGTTGCAATTAGTGGGATATTTGGTCAAGATATCTTGGGCTAGTTTGCAAAATATTCTGCTTTTTGTCTGCTTTTTGTCTGCTTTTTGTCTGCTTTTTGTCTGGTGCGTCTTCAGCAGCCCAAAGACTCGCACTATGTGCGAACGCTGAGCAAAATATCTCGAGCTAATTTCTCGAGCTTGAGTTTCGAGTTTCGAAGTCGAATCTCATGCTGATGATGACGCGATTTGTAACTTCGGGATTATTTCCCAAATCAGAAATAGCGGGCTATTTAGCAATCTCGAGCTGATGAAGACATACCTAGAGAGACTAGGGGTAGGAGGTATTTCTTGATAGGACTACAGGTTTGCTGTGTGCAGACTTGTACACCCTTTAATGGTATTTCCACCAAGTCTTGTGTCAGTGAATTATGACCTCTGCACATGGAAACTGACAACCCTCTCCCTTAAAGTATTATGTACACATACACTGTATATCAGTAGACTGGCTGACATATTTATTTATTATGGAATGAGAAAATAAAGATTCAGCTGTAACAATTTTATATCAAGTTTGATTTACCTTATATTGTTTTCACCAGACTTTTAAATGCTCAAGCACATAAGTTTAGACATAGTAAATTACTATACATGTATTTATAATTTCCCTTAAAGTCATGCATGTCCGTGCAGTAAGTATCCTCAATTATGTAGCTGACTATTCATTACACTTCAAAGTAGTTTGAGCTAATATCGTGCTACGTTAAAAAGTATTGTATTCATACTGTTAATCTGCTCTTTTTCTTCTCATTTTTGTCTTTATCTTCAGAAACAAGTCACCTTGATGACAATAGTTTGTGCGCTTCTTCAAATGCTTGCATTAGTATGGTGAGTGTTATAAGTTTTTTTTTAAAGAAAAATCATAATGTTGTATGTAGAGTATTGTAGTGGTCAACTCTGAGGCTGTTCACACCGGCAGAGATAGCGCGCGCTAGACCACGCTATCTCTGCGGTGTGGGAGGTACAACATCGTTTTGGTCCGCCCAACAGCGAGCCACGGCGAGCCAAAACGGCGTGCCACTGGAGCACCTCTTGGGGGTGGTCCACGAGAGATAGCGCGGTCTAGCGCGCGCTAGAAAAAAGGGGGTGCTACGATAGACCGCGCTATCTCATTGCGGTGTGAACAGCCTCTATGAGGCTGTTCACACCGGCAGAGATAGCGCGCGCTAGACCGCGCTATCTCTGCGGTTTGGAAGGTACAACGTCGTTTCGGTCCGCCCAACAGCGAGCCACGGCGAGCCAAAACGGCGTGCCACTGGAGCACCTCTTGGGGGTGGTCCACGAGAGAGAGCGCGGTCTAGCGCGCGCTAGAAAAAAGGGGGTGCCACGATAGACCGCGCTATCTCATTGCGGTGTGAACAGCCTCTTTGAGATTTTGTCTTCAGAGTTGAGTTTTTGTAGGTGATTTTCTCCTAGTTTGATGTTGAAAGCTAATTTTCCTATAATGATGGAAAAATGGTTTTACATAGAATCAAATGCAATTTACATTATGACAAATAATACCTGTATATTATATGATTTTGATAGAAAATGTCTAATAGCTAAATTATGAGAACTGTAATAAAATAAATCCAACCACATGAAGAAGTCTGGACTCAAGCCAAGTGTATGTTATCATCGCTTGTAAATGAGATGCACTTTTATCATAGATACAGTAATTGTCATTGTATCGTATTGTAATCAGGCGAGCAGCTTAATCAAATGAATCTTATCAAACCAAATAGAATCAATTTCTTCTCCCTCAAGAAACATAAGGTTAACTTATGAAAATAATATTCATATATTTCCCTCATGACAAGTGAATTCTGGTGTTGTCAGAATCAATAATGGATTTAATAAAATCACAATGAAAAGCTTCGAAACATTTATATATCGATATGGATGTAATAATGATTTCTAGTGTAATATCTCTGTTTCTATATTATTTGTTTTATTCACAGGTATGTCATGAGCTACATACCAGGAGGACAGACTGGACTCAAGTTTTTCACCAAAGTGTTCACCTCGATAGCAGGGAAAGCAGTGTCAAGTACATTACCAGTCTGATCAAGCAATGGTTCAAAACAAGAGACACCACTCTATAAAACTGAAGAAGCAACAAACCTCTCTCCACTATGCTGATGATTTGTGAAATCTTGTGAAACCTAGGGGTGTCCGAGTCGAGTGGTTCGGTAACTTTAATGGGAATGTGAAAGTTGTGGGTTCAAGCACCGACATGGCACTCCTATGTATGGCAAGACATTTCATACATTGCATCTCTCCATCTAAGACTTGGGGTACCTGATGGGATATGAATGCCATTGTGTTAGGATTGACATGCACCTGTAAAATGGGGAATGGATGGAATGCTCCAAACAGATTTGAGAGTGAACACTGCATGTGCGGAATTCTTATTGAATCTGATGGCCGGGGTAACAGTTCACTTTGGTCAATTGTTTTGACCAGTTAGTTGTACCTTGGAAGGTGCTACATTTGAATATGAAAAGCAGTCGATATTATTGCTAACAAAATCACAAATTGAAATCAAGAGGAAAAAAGCACGATCAGAAGGACGACATCACTGATCCATTTTGGGAGCTGGGCTCTGTTTCATAATACTTGTAATCAATGACAAGTTTCAATAACTGTTATAGGCTACTGAAATCGTGGCATTTGATTGGCTCAGAGCAAATATGTCATAGCAATTTAGCATTTGTTATTGATAACAAGTTTGGTGAAACAGGGCCCAAATCAGGACCCAAATACAGAGTGCTACATGTAGAGGGCCTTCCTTGGCACAGTGGACCCTTCTTTTGAAACTGAATTTAGACTTACCGGTGTGTTGGCTCAGTAGAGCATCCGCCTCACAACCGGGAGGTCGTGGGATCAAACCCCGGCCGCATCATACCAAAAGACGTTAAAAGACTGGAGTTGCTGCTACCTTGTTTGGCGTTCAACAATAAGGGATGGAGCAACGTCGATCTGGTGCTGCTCAGTGGCTGCCAGGCTCACGATCAATTGGGCAAAAAAGAATTTCCATTTTCGGTTTAACTTAATAAAATTTGGAGTGGATTTTAAAAGATTATTATTATTATTATAATGTGGTGTAGTGACTGTGATGACACAGTGCTGATATCAGACAATGAGGCCCAGGTTAGGGCCTTGAACAGCAAGTCATTCATATTTTTTCTGATGTAAATATGACGCTGGTCCTTGTTCTGGTTGCATCGGTCTTGAAAAATTCTATGACAAATCCAGTTTCTTATGAAGCTGAAACAAATTTGAAATTGTGCAGTGTTATGAATGCACTTATATACATAATTTGTTTTCTATTGTAGAAGTACTACTTCTTGGAATGATTCTTGAAAAAAATCATCAACAGAAAATATGTTTGGGTGTATTTGTTTTTGTTAATATATGGATTATATTGATTTTGTTTTTGTTTAGTTCAATGATCAAATTCTGTCTTTTGCAGCCCATATGATGGACGATAAAACAATCAGTTCTGACTGTTTTGGGATGAAACTTGAAAGGGTAGCCTAAAAGTAGTAATTTGTAAAGAAATGAACTCCACCGGGTATGTTTTACCCAAGTGTCTGACTGACACTGAACAACCTAATGCATGTTTGTTCTAGTATCATCATTTAATGATGATGACAGAGCTGCCAACTAGTACGGATTTCCCGTAGTTGGTACAGAAATTAACGGTCATTACGGAATGTTGTCTCAAATTACGGACTTAAAAAAAATATATAAAAAAAAAAAATGAAAATAAGTATGAAGCCATTTTTCATGGAAAACTGTGTTGTGATGACCTGAAAATCAATATTTAACAACTTTGTGCAGTAAAATCACCAAAAATTTCAGTTATTTATATTTCCGTGCAGTGTTGGCGTGCCGTTTTTTAAAGATTCATAGCGCCACATAGGAAATTACTGGTTTATACCCAAAATTTCTGATTTTGAGCCTTGTGATGACTGATTTTCTGTTCTGGAGGTTGGCAGCTCTGTGATGACAGAATGTCCCATATTTTCCTCACATTCTATGAAGGAAACTGATATCATAATCTGTGATCCATTGCATATAGCACACTTTCATGTGATAAATTACTAATAGTAAGCTTGTTTAATCTACATGTATATTGTCCATCGACTGCCGGTGTCTCTTTAAATGCAATATATATTTCCCTCCTAGAGCAAAACTTATCTCGAGTATTTTACTTCACATTTATAATTAATTATTCATTTTTTTTTTTTTATGGATCTTTGCATGTTGATTTTAGTCAGTTCATGTTTATTCTTCATGTTAGTTCAATTATTAAACTGTGAAATAAACTAACTGAAAAGGATTGAGATGGGGGACTATGCAGGGGAACCATTGTTAAAGAAATTTGAGAACACAGGGGAGAACAAATGACAAATAAATGGGAAAACCTTTTGTAACCATTCAAAACTTGCTTTTTTTTAGTCAAGTTTGACCTTGACCTTGACCTAAATGCAAAGCCCTGAGTTCCGGCGATCTCAAAAGTGTTACCAAATGAATTGGCATCCCCAAGTTACTTGAAAATGATACCTTAAATGTTTTTCTGGACTATTTGGTTCAAAAGTTAAGCGTGTTTGCACAATTAGACCATGCGGACTGGCGGCCATTTTGGATTTGACTCTCAAGGTCATCAGAGGTCAAATCTGACTTCCCTCCACATCGGAAAATAAATCTTATGGTGAAAGCTAACTATGCTAGAAGTTTCATGCTTTTCTCAAAAAGTGCACAATTTCTTGCTAATCCGCTGCACTATTTTCAAGTGTTTGCAACATGTGTCAATTCAAAATCATCCTAAAACAAACAAACAAATGTTATATGTTATGCGTTCTACACATGTAGCGTGTAATGTAGACCAAATTGAGGATGCGCTAAACTATCTGTTTGTAAATGTAGCTATTTGTATATACTTTGCATGTAAAAGAGAAGATTAAAATCTTGATAATATTTTGTTAAACCTCATTTTAAACATATTTTGTCAATTTTGATCTCTTGCTTGCCCAATGTATTTGTGTTCTGAGGATAAAGTTGATTATAAAGTGCTGGTGTGATATTTATGATGTGATTACAACTAGGGGCAGATCTAAGATTTTGTAGGGGGGGGGGGGGGTAAGAGTACAAACAATTCTGATGATATTTTTTTTTTTATAAAGGAGGCATTTATCATTTATCTTTGCTCAACTTATGCTAGTCATCTTTCAAGGGGGGGGGGGGGGGGGGGCAGGCACGTTCGCAGGATTTTTTTCTCGAAGGGGCCGGGTTTTAAAATTTGAAAATAATAAAAATGGTGACATTAATCACCTGCATTTTAATCAGGGATTATGATGAAAACAGCAGAAGTAATGATAGTCTCTTCGGGATGTTAATCTGTTTCAATAGATATTTTACTTTAGATCAATAAAATATAAGATATGCAGTAAAGAATAACAAAAAAAGAGAGAGAAAGAAAGAGATAAGGGGAATAACAGAAATAAAGGGGAAAGGAAGGAGAAAGGAAGAGAAAGGGAGAAAGGAAGAGAAAGCGAGCAAGTAAATTAGAAAGAAAAATCCGAAGAAATGAAAGAAAGAACAGTAGATCTAGGGGAAACAAATTGATTAACTTGAGGTCAACGATGCTGGCAGCATTTGCCAAAATGTCGGCTGCAAGCGGTGTTGACGTGTTACAAGGGTATTTTGAGGATGTTAAATCGGAGGTTTCCAAGCAAGATCCCGTCGTCGTGGGAGTTGCTGTGGCAGTTATTGTCATCCTTTTCACGATAGGTGAGTTTTAAAAGAATGAGTTAATTTAATGAGTGAATATTGTGAATTTTAAATTACCTACCCGACATATGTCGAGTTTCCGTGTGCCAGGTGTCTTTGAATATGTTGTGTAGTGTGTACTGATTGAGCGAGAAGTATGTGCAAATTGAATAAGAAGCGCGTTCCTGGAGAAGCGGGGTCAGAGCTCGTTGCAACCTATGACACAGATAAGTCACTTCGGTGTGACATGAAAATTTAAAGATAAACTTGTTTTCAGAATGCCATACAAATCTTTGCTTAATTTCATAGTTAATAAATTACTATTTGCAGCTCAAAATGGGGGTCTATGATGACTGTATGAGTAGAGTCTGAAACTCTGACAGGCCAACAGTCACATGGAGTACTTTTTTAAACCCAGAATTCGGACATAAAAAATGACAATAATCAGTGAGCAAGTCTCTGACTGAAATGTTTACATTTCATGAATTTACATTAGATTTACTATAAGAACTAGAAGCCTGAATGGAATTGCATGGTTTTGGCTTGGCAAAAGCTGCCCATTGTTTCCAATGTCTAGATCTACATGTAGTCTAGGTAGGGTAGCGCGCCCAGTATTCGGTCAATTCCCAGTATTCGGTCAGACAGCCGTTTCAACAGCTGTAACAATTTAAAAAATAATTTATGAGCCACGAAACTTGCACAAATCAGGCAGCTGAACAATTTTTCTTAACTCTCAAAATTAAATCAGATTTAGGGCCCCGGAATGATCTCCAACTTAGCTCGAAATTGGTCAGTGTCGCACACCTTTCCGCACTTTCGCGTTCTCTTAGCACATGCGCTAACATGCATAGCCATATGTAGAAGTCTATTGCGAAACAACTACGTGTGCTGTCACAATGAATTTAGTATGTGTGTGAAGAGAATCACTTCCGTGTTCGCTCCATCGCAGCGAATTTGCAAATGACGCACTTGCCGATGTGCAAGAGGTATTTATACGATACCCTTGCCATGCGGTATCGCTCAGCCAGTATTCGGTCAACGCATTGACATTCAGTGCTTTATTGCGCAATTGTGTGAAAATAGTGCGCAAATACGCTACGCTCCTTTGCAACGGAGATACCACGCACAAATCGCGTGACCGAATTCTAGTCGGCGCGACCGAATTCTGGGCAGAAAAATGCTCCGTCTTCTTTCGGAAGTCTTTTGCTTATCGTTATTCTATATTTTCAGTGACTATAAAATCCTGTTAGAGGAATAAATTTCTTTTCTTTTGATGGGTAGATTGCCCAATGAAAGAGGTAAGAATTCAAAATATTAGTGATTTCCCCTTAAGTGACCGAATACTGGGTACTCTACCCTATACCTTTTATGTTTGCTTCTATTTGCAGTTTTGCTGAAATTGTTCAGAGGAAGTGGAAACAACCGTCGTTCTGTCCTTGTGCTTGGTCTCTGTGAATCTGGAAAGACTCTCCTGTACAGCAGGGTAGGTCATCAACCTGTGGAATCATAAGATATCAGTCAGCAAAGTATTGTTATTAACAAACAGAAGTTGGACATGCCTTTTAATGTTGATGTTTCTTTTTCTTTCTTTCTTTTAGAACATCTTTTTAGCAGTTTAAGTGCTTGATTTTCAAAGGATATACCAAACAAGGCCCTTCCAACATTTTAAAGATTTTCTTTTTGATCTTGGTTATATTTTCAGACATATTTACTACAATTTCAATAGTTGTACATGTAAGAACACAATGTTGTCTGTATACATTCTAAGCTTTTATGTTTTCGTTTTTTTTCCTGGAAATCAGTTGGAAATGAGTTCAGAAATGAGTTAAGAAATACATGAAATAATTATAGATTTGAACTATCTTGAATCTCTTTTCAGCTTGTCCATAAAAAGGCCATTGAAAGCTACACATCAATCAAGGAGAATGCTGGGCCATATCAGGTCACAGGACAAAGGTCAATGTTACTAGAGGTCGTTGACATCCCTGGCAATGACAGACAAAGGATACAGTTCTGGAATCGATTCAAGACCCAAGCAAGGTAAATTTCAGGAGAGCTGTATTTTTTCTGCAAGTTTGCATTTAGATTAAGATGTTGCCGCAGAAGAGGACTTTTTTGGTTTGTTTTTAAGTTGCATATATTGTGTTGATGTATACTATATGTTGCTATTGTAGTATACCAACAAATTGAATATTGGTAACTGATGTAGGATTAATTTGAAGAGCGACAGTGACAGCATCATCAATTTAGGTCAGAAGAGTATTAACTCTGTATCAAAGGGTACAAATTAACACCCTTCTGGTGCTCACAAAACAATTGCTTTGAACTTACTTGCTTTAAAGCCCCTCTGCACTAGTTTGGCCAGGAGGGCTTAGACCTCCATGCATGGTCACCGACAGGTGGTTATCTCATCAAATAAGCTCTCGATTAATATAAGAATAAGGGGATCATCATGGGGACCAATGGTCTCCGATTATGCATTGTTTGCTATATAGAGGACGCAAGTAGCTATAAGTAGTACAGTGGGGCTTTAAGGGGGTCTGATTCGGATGGTACACAGGAAGTGCGATGGCTCAGCGGTGGAGCAGTGGTCTTGTATTAATAGACTGGTTTTCTATTACATATCCAAATTTATGGATGTTTCTTTCCTGGGACCTAGTTACTAGTTATTCCATTGACCTGCTATTATAAAGGAACTACAATTCTTGGAATCCATAGTCTGCATATATTACTTGTTGCTATGTCGGGCAAGCCTTGGGCAAGCTTTCAGGTTTTTAAGGAACAACCTCTGTTAAAAAATATGCATAAAATTTTAATATGTTAGAAACCCAGTCTATTGGGGGTTCTAAACCAAGTCGATGCCCTCGTGCCCTTTGTTAAAAGCATTCATCTTCATTACCAAGTCTATATGATGGGATTGAAATTCATTGGTTCTCCAGGATGCTTGCATGTCTAGCTTACAGTTGCTTTCTTAGCAGTCTCTTCAAATTTATCGTTGGTCACAAATGCCATTATGAACTGCTACGAACGCCGTACGAACGATTTTCAGACAATGGAAATTCGGGAAGACAATGGAAAAACGGAGATTCATACAAAATTATCGTTCATACAAACCTTTGTGTCCGTAGCATAAACCATCCATGACTGATCATCTTTTTATTTTATCCATAGGGGAGTAGTTTTCCTGGTGGATAGTTCAAGCATACAGAAGGATGTAAAGGAGGTGGCTGAGTTCCTCTACACGCTCCTGAGTGATTCAACGACCACCAACCTCCACACCCCTTTCGTTGTTGCTTGTAACAAACAGGACATCACCATGGCCAAGTCTGCTAGGATCATCCAGATTCTCCTGGAGAAAGAAATGTGAGTCAGGTTGAAGAGTTAGATTCATAGAGTAGAATGGTAGTAAAACTAACAAACCAATGTATGCTACAGGACATTCCATGGCCGGATCATCTAGAATTATTCAAAACCCCTGGAGAAAGAAAGAGTTTGGTTGAAGAGAAATAGTTATACGGTAGAATACTAGTAATAGGAGAAATATATTATTAACAAAATAATAATTACAAACAAAAAGGATCAAGTTATCTAGAATAATCTAAACTCATCGAGAAGTACATTTGAGATGAATTGAAAAGATTCTTGAGACCAAAAATATGTTTTTCTCATGTTCTCTGAAACTAGTCAGAATTAAAACTTCTTTGGGGCATTTTCATCTTTGATTAAGCCAATGGCCAGAACTCAAAATGAGACATGTGCTACAAAGCCCTTCTTGCTTGGTTATGTCAACCTAAATATGCTGGTTTAATTTATATATTCTGATCAGTCAATCAGCCTTTAGCTAAAACCAATCAGGAACTACCTGACTACTGCAGTGGAATGAGTGGATCTGCATTTGGCACTCTCCACCCAGGTGTTAAATGGGTACCGGTTAAGGCTGTGCACAACAGTGTAATGAGGTACCCGAGTACACTCCCAGGCTCACAAGCGAATACTCAAATATTCGGACGCCATGTTTTTTTTATAATTTTTTTGAATTTTTTTGATCTTTTTTGAATTTTTGATTTTTTGATTTTTTTGATTTTTTTGATTTTTCACCACTACCATACCACTCGGCAGTTTCCCAGGTCCCTCGCCAAAAACGCATGCAATTTTACCTTGAGTTGCAGTTGAAGGCGCCGATTTAATAAGAATAATAACAGTAAACAATGCTGTTTTAAAAACCAAAGATGGCAGAATTTTTTTTTTTAAATTTATTTTTAAATTTTTTTTTTTTGCGGCCGAATATTCGGGTACGAGAAATCGTACCCGAGTAGTTGTCAACCGTGCGGGTACTCGAGCATTCGACTACCTGTCGCAGCCCTTGTACCGGTAGGAAGGAGTTCCTTAAGTGATGTGAGCGCCGGGAGCCAGGGTAATAATTGGAGCGCCTTGAGCACCATGCATGGTGGATATGTGCGCTATATAAATATACAATAATATTATTATTATTATCCTATACCTAAAGGGAAATAAACATAGACACTAGCTTTCCTTATCTCCTTCTTACCCTACCTATTCCGATGCAGGACTACTCTAAGAGTCACCAGAGCAGCCACACTATCCAGCACAGACGGCTCGTCAGGTGACGCTAACACCTTCCTAGGAAAACAAGGAAAGGATTTTGATTTCTCCCATCTCGCCAATCCTGTGGATTTTGTGGAATGCAGTGCTAAAGGAAGCTCGGCGGATGACGAAGGGGAGCTCAACACTGTCACTGAATGGATCTCAAATCTAGTTTGATTCCTGGTGTTATGGTGCAGTCTCACTTTCATGTAAAGCTTTGTTGACATAAGGGATGGGATGAGACGTGGCTAACTTGTAATCACTGCATACATTGTACAGTCAAACCTGTCTATAGCGACCGCCCAAGGAAAACACAAAAAGTGGTCTTTGTAGACAGGTTCCTTTAGTACATGTTTCAATGAGAAACCATTTTCAAGGGAAACAAAAAAATGTGGTCTTTGTTGACAGGTGGTCACTAAAGCAGATTTGACTGTATGTGGAAGTTACCGGTCTAATGTGTTGCATATTGCAAGGTAAAGTGGGAACATCCAGGTAAATTTTTGCCCTGTCCAATTCGAGAGGATCTATTATTTTGTTTTACTCCTGTTATGGCTACATGGGTGTTACCTGGAAATTGTCTGATCTTTCGTCGCAAATGTGGGCAATTTTCTAGGGGCCTAACCTTGCGAGTGCTTAACTATCCTGTGACCCTGAAAGCAGGAGTAACATAGTCTATAGTACTCTAATGAAAAAAAGAAATATCAACATGCCACTTATGGCTAGGCTTTACATGAATGCCTCAACACATCATTTAGGTGTTTATCAGCATCTGTCAAATTATGCAAAGAGAATTTCCTTTTCTATGTTCATGTCTGCACCATTGACTATGGTAATCTTTGTAGAGCCATGTTCATTTTCAGGAATTGCTAGGTCATTATTATCTATCTGTTTTGGGGCAATGATTTGCTTGTTTAATAGTCTCTAGGGATCTGCTGCTGTTGTATTGTAGTGTATTGTAAATCATCTTGCCTATCAAGAGGGCATGGTGCCATCTTGGATTCTTGGTTAATATTGCAGACCTGAACAAATTTTGTACATTATTCCATTTGAGCAATTTGGACAAGCACATTCTAGATCAGTTTCATGTAAATTGCATGTGCTGTTTTTTTCTCAAGCTCCTGTCTTTTTCATTTCTGTGTTAAAGTATACGTTTCTTTGTAAGACTTTTTTTGTTTCCTCTGTCATTTTGAAAATGTTCATTAAAACTGCACTGGCGTTATTCCAGTGGTGCAATTCTTTCCACAATTTTGTGTTTGCAAAAGAGTGTATCCTTGTTATTAAGGTTGTTTGCATTCTTAAAGAGCTGTGAAGTATTAAGTTTGGTCAAGGTAAGGGAGATTAAACAATCAAGACTTATCAGGATTCATGTGGCCATGAAAAACGTCATAAAAACTAGTAACTACCAAAGCCTTTCTTTACCAGTTTTGGTCATGAAGTGTATTTTTATTACAATTTCTATGCTAGGTCACACCTCGGGTATTGCTAAATGTGCAAAAAATTCCCTTTTCATTAAACGTGAAGTGTGGGGAAACAAAATAACAAAAGATATAAATGGCAGGAGCATCTGTCTATAGTGTGTGGTGTAATATGATATTAGAATGGAAAAGAATGATCTGTGACTTTGAGCCTTTATCCAAAGAGAATTTTACATAGAGAAGTCAGTCCTAATTCAACGAGAGAGAGAGAGGGAGTGGGAGAAAAGGAGGGTAGAAAAAGCTCAAATAAGAGAGAGGAGGGAGGAGGAGGGTTAGAAAAAGACTATTTGTAAGATATCTTATTTGATATGCATGGAATAATCATGAAATGTAACTATCGGTAAATATAACAATGAGTACAACTACCAAAATAAGACAAAAATACAACTCTTCCTGCGGTAATAATTTTATTAAAAAATAAGATCATGTAGTTAATAAATTTATATTGTATAATCCTCTCATACAAACACTTCACACCATCATCCAATTCATATACATATTCATCTGTTATACAATAATTAGGAATCCAAATGAAGTTTATAAAGTAGAATAATGTTGAGAGGGAGAGGAGGGAAGAGAAAATAACTACCGGTATAAAACCCCATCCCTTGTGGCTTTGTACTCTCGCATTTCATCTACATAAATATTTCTGGTGGCCCTAGGTCATGCCTATACTAGTATACCTCTGGATGGCTGGACCCATACAGTATGCCAAGGCATTTTGGTTATTCAGTAAGGTTTCTTCTTGAATTAATTTTTTTAATTTAAATCATTTAGGACCATACAAACACACATGTGGGTCATACACTCTGAGAAAAGTCTCCACGACTATGGAGGTGTGGTGGTATGGGGTTCATTCATTCACTAGATTCTCAATCCAAGGCTTGAGGGTTCAAATCCCAGCCAAGCAATTGGCAAGACTTTAATCCACATTTACCACCCTGCTAGAATGGCATGATGAACAGGTGCGCTATATATGAAGCCACCATTTTAATAATTGTTACCGGTATTAAATCTGTTTGTTAACATTTTAGGACATCTAAGAATAATAATGTCTTTTTTACCAAGGGAAGCCCCACCAGTATTAATACTGTTCTCCCTGAGGGCACTGCAATCATACTATTACCCCCAGCTTCATCTAATAAACATCCTTATTGCATAGTTGTATTGGTTTCAATTTCTACTAGAAAATCGGTTGGTAAATTACCTTAAAATTCAATCAATCAAAACTGTACACCGAAGTATAGAGCGGCAAACACTTTATGCCTCTTTTCCAACAATGAAGTATCAACTGCATTTGAGAGACAATAAAACACTGCACAATTGTACCAAGATATATATGCATTATAAGGAAAATCTTTAATACCTTTGGTATAAGTATCCATCCAACATTTATCATAAATGACCTTTTGCAAGTCAAAATTTGAATTGTAATTCTTTGTTTAAAGTAAGTTAACATGATTAAAACTCACTGAAACATGAACATTTAAAAACAAGGAAGGTGAACTCAGAAAGAATAGAGAGAGAGAGCAATGAATATGATAAGAGGAGGAAAACAATCAAAGAAGAAAAAGATAAAGCTAATGAGTATGATGAACCTGTCAAAGTGGCAGAAGAATTCTTGTATGCTACCTTCAATGTTGAATTTTAGAGTAGAGAAATTAAGTTTTTTTGTGAATAACTGATGAACCAAGTCCCAATAATAAAACCAAATTGTACATTGTTATTGCTTTCAGTAATTTATTTGCATCACAAGCAACTCATCAATGACAAAGTTTCTTCATGGGGTTCATTTAGTAATATTCATGACTTTTGTACTGTTTCAGATGCAAATCATGATGGACCCCTAAAAATCTCACCTCACAATCACAATCTCAGATTAAAAAAATAAAAATGTAACATATTGATAACTAATGTACATTAAAAAAGTATACAGTATAATAAAAGAAATTAGCAAATAATTTATGACTTGCAGTACAAACATGAACTGTGAATTTGTCAAATATATTGATACATGATTTCAGATTTTGTATTAAAAAATATTATTTTTATATAACATTATGGATACAACTTACAATATAAACTGTCTTAGAAACTCATAACCACTTTAACAGCTTTCATAATAAACCAGGCAAAATCTAAATGGTATTACTGCACAATTTAAACAATCCAAAATATGGAATCTCCTAAACCCAAAGTCCTATTCAAATTCAGTAACAAGTGCATACTGTGCTCATGCATATATTTTGTTTACAGTACTATACATTTTCTATTAATTGGAAGAAGCGTTCTATAAATTAGGTTTAAAAATTCTGTAAGTAAAATTCATAAAAAAAAGTGCACATAAATAGCCTGTAGTACAAGATGAATTAAGAAAATATACAAAACCAAAGATGAGAATAAAAACTTGATGTGCTCCAGAATATCCTAACACAATATACAGCTTTCCACATCATCTGTTAGATAAAGGGGAGTTCTGGTAAAAAAAAGAAAATGAATTCTCACAGAATCAAACGAAACTTACACTGAATGATCAAGATTACAAATAAATGTCATGTGCCAAATAATTTTGGTAGAAAATGTATACTGGCTGAGTAATGAGCATAGAAAGATAAGGAGATCAAGGTTAGTAGCCCTGACACCATTTGTGTAGTCCCATATACATTCATATTACTATTCAATAAAATGTGTATGTATAAAGTGTAAGTTTGACATTTGTGACTGTATACTTACAATCAATGCCATTTTGTCACTACAAGTTTTCAAATCAAATAACATTCACTACCGTATAATTGTTCTGCTCAGTGGAAGGAAAGTTTGATGCAACCACACACCAATGTACCTATTCAATAAAATGTGTATGTATAAAGTGTATATTTGACATTAGTGCATGTATACAGGTACTTACAATCCCTGCCATTTTGACAATACACGTGGACAAATAAAATCACAATCACTTCATTTTCTCTGCTTATTGAAAGGACAGTTTGATGCAATCTCGCACCAATGTACTATTCAATAAAATGTGTACCGTATGTATGAAGTGTATATTTGACATTTGTGACTGTATACATTACAATGCCTGCCATTTTGACAATACACATGGCCAAATAAAATCACATTCACTATATTTGCTCCGCTCAGTGAAAGGACAATTTGATGCAACCACACGTCAATATACTATTCCATACAATGTGTATGTATTGCTGTGATGGAATGTAGATGCTATTTTTCCTTATCATGGTGCCATTATGAGGATGAAGTATATGTACATGGACACAATTACTTACTACTTGTATGTCAAGTTCTAAATGTGGCACATGAATACTATGAAGGCTTTCATCAATGCCTTGAAGCAGGCTAGCCTCCCCTAATACAATTCCTACTAATTGGGAAAATTGGGCTATTACTAACAAAGTTGGTTATTACAACTTATTCAAGCATATGCTGCGTTTTAGAAATTACATTTCATATTATTGCACTTATTTTTCTTTTTAACATTATGTGCATTGCAAACATATGATCACAAAATCTTACAAAGAGCAAGCAGATTGAAATCAAATATTAGGTTTGGAATTTTGATATCAAAATACATGTACATTATATAAATACATGGTTATATACATGTACCTTTCTTAATTTTACAATAACTGTCAATTTGTTAAAGTACTTGTTTAAGAGTTAAGTTTTACATTACTGTTGATGTAACTTCACTAAAGCCATGTACAAGCATCGTCGGTGGTAGATCTTGAGTCAAGAGATCAAGATGGCGTAAGTACGTCATGTGATACTGCGGGTCCGCAGGTGCGAGGGGCAGATAACAGAAGACAACCGAAGTGGATGACGTGTAGTCCCGCACCATATTATTCAGCGCGAGTAGATATTCCTCCGATACTGACATGACGAGGCTTGGGGCGATATCGCCGTTCTGTGAGTTCATCTGGTAGGTGTTGAGCGATGTTATATGGTTCCACGGAACGGTGACGATCTCTGCGTTGATGCGCAGATCGAGCAGGAACTTGTTGAGCTTGGCCTTCTTCTTTTTGGTGGACGTGTAGTCGGAGTCGACACAGAGGAAGACACGGAGTCGCGTGTGTCGGTTCCACTTAGGCACCATGTGCAGGACACAAGCCAGTTGAAGTAGGAAGATACAAGCAGTGTCTAGGTAACCAGCTAGCTCAGGCTTCAGGAAGTTGACCGGCCAGACATCGATGAAGGAATCCTTGGTACTGTTGAGCAGAGCGTCCATGTCAAGAGAAGAGAAGTGACGCGCCAGACAGATGTTCTTGCGAAGCCGCACCGCATCGCTGATCATCAACACGTACTGATCAGCAGAGAGAGCCTTGGTCTCTGCTTCTGTTCGTATCTTGGGTAACTGGGTGAGGACTTGACCCATCTCTTCTTCATCACTGTCGGTGGTGAAGCGGAAGCGGGATGGTTTCTCAGCCTTGGCTTGGTTGAGTGAGTTGACGGGTATTCTGTCATCGTAGAATCCCATTACTACTGTGTTTGGTTTCATACCTATTAAAAGAATAGAAGAATTAAATATGATATACAAGTATTGACTGCTTTGAGGAGCAAAGTCAAAACTATTGCCCAAGGTGATCAAACTGTACTGTGCCCCAAGACAAATTCGAGGGGCAAAGTGCAGTCACAAGATCACAGAGGAGCTATAGGTTAACCGGGACCCGAAAAATTAGCAGTCAATATCTGTACAATAAACCGCATCCCAAGTGTCAATTCTTAAAAAGATATATCCTAACAAAATATGCCTGTTAAAGTGTATTTATTTGTAAAGTCAAATGAAATGTACCTGTCTAAGAGCATTGTGCGTGTCTCACCACGTGTATCCATTGTTAACTTCACGTGCCATCATTTCCTCCTAGCATTGTACATACAATGAGGTTTATGCCCGGTCAATATATTTCGCTATACTGCCCAGCAGGCAGTAGTGAATCTTCATGCCTACAGTTTTGACCAATCAAAGGCCTAGTATCTTCATATGCAGTATATAAAGAAAACTATGACTCCATGACGATTTTCCTATCCTGTCATTATTGTTACAGTCATTGGAGAAATCATGTATATCCAATTTCTCCAAAAACATGTCATAATATCCTACATCACCGCGAGTTTACATGCAATGAGGGCTTCTTGTTCTACAAGTATATTGATTTAATTTCCAGCATAAAAATACAAAATTCTCTTTTCCATTTTAGCATCACTTGAATATCTGGTAAATCATAACTTACGCTCACCATCAAAGCATGTGCAACATTAGAAACATTTACATTACCTACAATTTTTTTCCCTTTCGCTCGACAGATTGTATTCTAGGACTCATTCCGAATCACCATTCTATTGTTACTCGAAGTTTAGCATTCATTATACTTCTCCTGGGGCCCATTTCACAAAGCTTTTTTTTCAATGACAAATGACAAAAAGCAGTGACAAATCTGCTGATAACCAATCAGAAGCAAGAATTTCACTAGCTTATACCAAAGACTGTCATTTGTCACTGATGACAAGTTTTGTGAAACAGGGCCCTGATCTACTTATAGAAAGAAAAATGTCTCAGTAATTATACTCACCACCTAATCCAGATATGCGCATCAAATGCATGACTCCCTCCCGTACACTAGGAGCCAGTGTCAGCTCTACGAAGGCCTTGACCTTGAGGGATTCCACCAGATAGAGCCACGCCGGGTACTCCTGCTGGACAGGGTCATAGTGGCACTCGTCCAGGAGCCCTGTCTTGACATGCCCTATCACATAGAGGCCGCTCTTCTTCATGTCGTTGACGAAGCGTATGAGCTGGGTGGAAGCTCGAGGGTTGGAGACGAGGAGGAGTATCTGCGGTCGCCAGAACTTGACGTGAGCCTTGCGGATGTCCAGTAAGAGAAGGTATTTCCGTACCTGTCATATGTAAGAAAGCGATGAGCATACAAGTTATAGTATACAGAGGTATGATTACCTAATCCAAATCTACAAGATATCAAGAGGAATCCAGAGGAATAGAACAGACTGAAACAAATTAATTCTTTTAGGTGGACAACAGTGGTAGAACCAGAGGTAGTAGCATGAAACTGAAGAAACATGGGTGCAAACCGCTTTTACATCAAGAAGCGCAAATACCTGGATTGCATTACCAGAGGAAGCGGTCCGTACCACTAGCATCAACCTTTGAACCAACACTCTACATGTAACAACCTTTAATTGTAAAGCTATATCTGAACCCTATCTAACACTGATTGCAAACCGAGACCCAACATTATATCTGTCCCTGTCATATGAGCCTGTAAGTGAAGTCAAGATAGGTGAAACAAAAAATGATGGAGTATTTCAACAACAACAACAACAAAATTGTATTTTATTTCGCCTATGCATCTGTCGAGCTTTAAAGCATACCTGCCAACCGTTCACAGACAAATATAGGAATCTCTCAAATCAAAATCAGAAATACGGTGAATTTTGTATACTTTTCACATATATAGAATATTTCAGACCAAGAGAGGAATCTAGTGTTCAAAACAATAGCTTGAAGGCCAAAAAATCGGAATCCTTTCTCCAAGATAAGAATGTTTGGCTAAATTTCCTAGCGTGAATCTATTCTTCCTCCCATTGGAGTTTCACCTGATGAAAGATGAGCGCCTGGCCGACGTAACCCCACTGGTTATGAGGTCCCCAGATGATGACCACCACGAGGAGGAAGATGAAGAGACCGATGGCTACGAAAGCCCATAGGGGCTCGATGAGGAAGAGCATGATGATACACCCGATCATACCCAGTAGGGACGTGTGCCATGAGAAGTATTTGAATGAAGGTCTGTGGATACGATACACAAGCAAACAGAGGGTCACGTAACACATCAATTATCAAATTAAAAACAAAAGTGGGCAGATGCACATGGTTCTACAGTCAAACCTGCTATAATGACCACCTGTCTACATCAAGCACATTTTTTTTTTCCCCTTGAAAATGGTTTCTCATTGAAGCATGTACTAAAGGACCCTGTCTACAAGGACCACCCATCTACAAAGACCACTTTTTGTGTTTCCCTTGGGTGGTCGCTATACACAGGTTTGACTCTAGTTCTATTTCTAATTTACAACTAATCCATGACTTTGTGGATGGTTGGATTGACTTGTAAACTTATGGACAAATGCAATGACATAAATTCTCTCACTTATCCTCTACATTTTCTGTCCTTTGTAGCTAATACAAGTACGGGCACCTCAGTCACACGGATGAGTCCGAAATCAGATTGATAATTAATTTATATTACTCCGAACAGACAAGAATCAATCGCTTTGGAGTCATTTCGGTGGGGTGACTGAGGTATAAATATCCTGTAAAAATTTGCAAGTCCCATAGCCATGGCAGAAGGTTAAAACTGCTCTGTGTTTGGGGGCAGTACATATATATTGCAAGAGCACTATAATGTTGTCATGTTAAGGGATCGGATTATATAGTCTGTGATACATGTATTACATAACAAAGTATGGACTTGCTGAAGAACAGCCATTGTCTAAAAGCAAGTATTTCCTCGCTGAAATAAAATAAGATCATTACCTGAAGTTCGGAGCAGAAGCCACTTCCAAAGCTAGACAGGCAAGGTTGACACAAGCATAGGAGAGGAGGAAGAACACAGATACCAAGGGACCTATGGCATTCAGTTCTCCTATAAAGAGGACCATCTGTAGTGGAACAAAATTGGATGTGAAATTAGGTATTTTAGACTCCCCAACACACAATGTAGTGAACAGCTAGGGTTAAGACGAAAAATATTTCACAAATAAATGGTGGGCAAGTAGGGAAGAGAAAATGTACCTACTCATAAAAAAGGCCCCAAAATATCATACAGGTATATCAATATTTGGATTACCAAAGGTACAGACACCATAACACCACTATAAAGTCACTGATTTGATTTTCAATTAGAGCTCAATGCATGTGAACATTGGCTAGGGTGGTCAAAATTTATTTTGTTGGCATTTCCTGAAATCTAATCTAAAAAGTGACATTTTGGCCATTTTTTAGGACCAATGTTGACCTGATCTTGATTTTGTTGTCATTTTAAATTTTTGTACCATCTTCACCTTGGCTACTAGTCACATGTTGATCTCCAATAACTTTGGAATAAGAGCAACCTAAGATGTTGCATTGCTACTGGGTCAGAATGAAAAACAGGATGTGCTTAATGGGTGTGCCAAGTTTCAGAACAATCTGATTTTGTATCAATATCACTTTCACTTTAATAAAAATCATGGTTAATAACAGAGGGAGTAATAGAATAAAATTGTACAGATACCCCCCCCCCCCCAAAAAAAAAAAATACATTTAGCGTACTTCTCTCAAAATTCATCTTTAACTCTAAGAATACTTTAATATGACACGCACCTGTACCATAAACCAACAGACCAAGAGAGCTGCTATGGGATTGCCTCCTTTAGTTACCCCTCGAGCTATGGGGTTCGTCACAGATCCTACAGCATAGAAATGAATAGAATATAATTTTTATTAGACCATGAATGGAGCAATTCACAAGAAGTGACAAAAATGAGGCACATTTCTTCAAAGGCACTATGTCCCATTTGCAGGCCAAAAAAAATGAAAAGGTTAAATTCCAACAGTATTTGAAAGACAATACTAATTTAGAACTTCTCAAAACGAAAGGGCTTGAAAATGGCTTTACCGGTAAGTGGGAAAAACACGACCATTAGTTATTGAATCGACTTAATGATTGTAATCACCTAAAGTAAAAGTCTGATTTTCAGACCCTTTTACTGAATGGTCATGTGTTTTGTGCTGCACAAATATTTAATCAGTTTAAATTTGACCATTACAAGTAGTGGGTTATTTTTGTAGAAAATGTCAGGCAGATAGGACATACATGCCATATTCATAATTCCTGCAAAGTACTACATAATTTGATGTTGGCTGCAAAAGAGACTTAGTATCTTTAAGGAGGTTGAGAAATTGTTCCCAAGATCACCAAACTCCTCCTCCCCACTTTTCCCTCCTGTATACTCAAGCTTCTCAACAGGAGTTTGTTTATCGCCGGTCCAAACTGAGTGAATATGGTCTTCAAGGATTCCAGAGGAGTATTTTAGGAGGACAACATGTAGAGCATTTTTGCAGGTTGAAAGTATGCAACAACATATTGATTACTCTATGAACTCTTATCAACTGAAATTATTATTATAAGGGTGTAATTTGCTTTTTTTTTCATTATATGGAGCACCCATGCTTAATAACAGCACACAGGATGTTTTACACTAGCATAAATCTTACTAATACTTTTTTTATGTACCTATATTCAAGTTCTAATTGTAATTCAGTATTTTTGACACAGCCTTGCATTCTTAAAAGCGATAGGTTTAATTTTTTTTTTTTTTTTTTTTTTTTTTTTTGGAGGGGGGGGTATTTTTCTTAAATCAAAAACTAATATCAAAATAATTACAGGTCCTAAATCTTACTAATACTCACCAAACACTCTATCCTTAGCGAGAGCTACTAGCACCCTTGATCCACCGATGAGTGTACTAAGAGAGGTAGAGAGGGTCGCTGCTATGACCCCTACAGCGATCAGAGGACCCACCTTATTCACATGCTGCAGGAAGTTATAATCATTCTTCAATAGGTCCCTGTTATTAAAAACAAAGAATAATAATATCATTATCATAATCATCAATATTATCATCATTATTGTATCAATAATGTTATTGTTATTAATTATATTATTGTTATCATTCCTATCATCATTATTGTTATTAATAATATAATTTTCATCATTATTTTTGTTATTATTATCATTATCATTAGTAGTGGTAGTAGTAGTGGTAGTAGTAGTAGTCGTACAATCATCATAGTCATTATTACTACTATTGCTACTGGCACAAAGTTACAAGGGGATTCCTAAACATAAATTGAACATTCAATGTGATATGAGGAAGTTGGCAAACAGTACATATGACATTTCACGCCTGTATAATCTTACAGGAACAAATTTGATGAAAAATCAACCTAACCTTTCATTATTTCAAACAAGGAAATATAGATAATTGCATGAAATTTTTTGAAATAAAGCACCTGTGCATCTTGTCGTGAAACCATTATACATGCAGGTCAAAGTTCACCAATAAGGAATAAAATGTAATACCGTACATGCATTTCAGGATACAAAAAGCTATGTTTTGTTGGGTTTTTAAAATCATTTTATTTCCTTGTTTTGGGGATATCAAAACTAAGAACATAGAATTGGAAAAGGGAGAAAAAGAGATAGAAGCCTATAATTCGTCTTTGTTTTCACGAAGTGACGGTAGTGAGGAAAATCGTAACGCAAAGTGAATGCAATTTTTTTTCACTACCGTCACTTCGTGAAAACAGCGACGAATTTTTAATACTGTTATCCACATTCTATATTTAAAAAAGAGAGAAAAAAGAGAAAGAAGGAAATTAATATTTAAAAAAAAGGCGTTGGCGTTTATAGTCAGTTCTTGACTGATTGCCATTACAACAAATAACAACAACAACAACAAAGGGCTGTCTGCAAACTTGTACTTCAATGGTTTCATGAAACACAGCCCTGCCTTTTTGACCATCACAACTTCCTTTAAAGTCAAAGGCTGTTAATACATTAATAACCTTAAGATTTTATATCCTCTGCAGAAGGAAATTCAAGGAAATAATTATTACTCTTACTTCCTTCCTGAAAAATTGATGATATAATTCATAATGGTTGTACTGTTCAGTGCACAACATGGTTGACTGTTAATTACTAGAGCATTGTATAGCTTGTATACTAAATAGTAGTAACTTAATAGAGACTCAAATGGTTGTATTTAGTTGTGTAGTGTATTAGTTAGTCATGTATTCGTTATGTATTAGTTATGTATTAGCTACATTTATATGTATTAGTTATGTTTCATGTAGTTTGGGTGACTGAACCTGTCATACTGACAGATCACTATTGATGAATAGTATGAATTAATTATGAATTAATTATGTATTAATTATATTCTCGTTATGTATTAGTTATGTACCGTATTAGTTTTGTATATGTATTCCTTATGTGCCGTAATAGTTATGTATTGGATAAGTATTAGTTATACATTTAAAAAAAAAGTAAATGAATGCCAACTGCGCATAACAAGAATCATGCCCATATTCACTGATGTTAGAGACCAAAAATGGACGAGTGTTTGAAACATCATCATAAAAGTAACTGCCACGGTTTAGCCGCATCATATATAAGTCAATGCACTTATCACACACACCTATCCATGGAGAACTAACCTGGTACATGTCGCACTTACTAGAAGAAAGACAATGATGTAGATGACTGCCGTAAACAAACATCCTCCTAGGGTTCCAAGGGGAATCGCTCGACCAGGGTTACGAAGCTCACCTAGAAAGTCAAGCAAGAAATGAGATTAAATGTTATTTGAAGGTTTAGTTTTACAGACATTTTTTTAAACCTTTTGATCCACTTTGTTCTGAATTACAAATTGTTCATGAGCAGAAATTGCAAAAATCCCTGAAAAGATTGAGGCATTTCTTTTGTAGTATGCTGTGCTATTCATAAATAAGAGCGAAGTAATCATTAAATGCAGAGTGAAATTTATGATCAGTATTTTTGTATACAAATTGGCAATTTCATGTTGATTTTTTTCTTCTATTTTTTTTTATTCACACTGGTTCATGTAATATTATAAAAATAATACACAGTCGAAACACCCTCAGCTACTGCCTAGGGCGTGTTAGACTGTTCCAAAGATACCTTGTTTGGGTAATTCTTACTATGCCCGAACAAAGTGATGAGTATTATTTGTTTTAAAAGATTATTATTATTTATTTTTTTTTATGAAATGATGTTTTATAACATGATTTATTTAATGACCGCTCATTATCCAAATTACGCACAAATTTTAGGCAAAATAAATGCATGGTCACGTGAACACTTTCAACCAATCATTTGATTAGGATCCACGTCATCATCTTATAAAAGTCTTTATTTTGCCAACCTTCATGTAAGAAAGAATGGAATATACCAATAATTGCTGCTAACCTGAAGAGGAAAAACTGATTCTTTTTCGATTTTCTTAATCATTCAGATCCTTGGTCAGTAAGATTTTACATGTTTAAATGTTTGTATCAAATGCTAATTACAAATTCCTCCAAAATCGGACCATAGTCTGATGGCAATATGTGCTGTTAGTTTTGTACATGAAGTTACGGCAGTAACCCTGTATTCTGACTTCTGACTATTAGAATTCACTCTATAGCTAGAGCTACATGTATATGAAAATTGAAAAGTAATCACTTTTTCCTGGTTTAAATGTCATATAAGAAACATTGTCTAATACAATATCGTATACCAAAATGCCTGTTTTTTCAGGAGCATCATTTCAAACAAAATGTCAGTAAGGAATCAGCATCCTGTTCTAGTCCGAAAGTAATACTGTGCGGGGCCTTTTGCAGCTAGAGCATGCACTGATAGTTGGCCGACTGCCATGTCCAGTGATCGCATCAAAACTAGTTTCTTTATATATACAATGTTCTTCTCTAGCCTGTACGCTCCTTTTACTATTCAATGATTCCTTATACAACGTTTCTTTATACAACGTTTCTTTGAACACGTTTTGTGTAAATATGCTTGAGTCTGAAGGGGCTATGAGTGGATTTACATATATATCGTGCCATCATGCTCAATATCTAATTCATCATTCCTAAGAGCACACATTGTCATTGTGAAAGTAAAACCTTTGTTTTAAGATTACTGCACTTATAAGGCACTAGGTCATGCAGTCAATTAATTTTATTTCTTTACAATCATGGATTAATAGCTCTGGCGGGAATTTAAACCCTATACCTTACTATTCAATTCCAGTGATTTATCCACTATACATCTAAACATCTCTCCTGAAGTGATCTTGTTTGGGGGAATTCTATAAAAGATTCCCTTACATAAAAGCTAGCATGGAGCAAGGGCCTTAAAGCTGTGTGTATGTTTAAATTCTTTCAAATCTTTCCCTCTTATCAAGTAGTCTTTGACTGGGAGATTCATTCATTCAAATTCATCAATAGAATTGATAAAATACTGCTTTAAATACTTCTCATTGGAGGAATCCATACTACATCTTTAAAGGTACATTTTTCATAATTATATACATATATATCAAGAATGAAACTTATGCATTATAGCAAGTTACAGTATATATCTTACATGTGACAAAGTACAATGTAGGCTATTTATATTGTCAGACATACACTGTACATATTTATTAGTAAAGGTAAATGTACACATGTACATGTAGTTGGCAGAACCTACATGTAAGTTAGCAAGGAAAAAAAGAGTGCTCATGTGATACACTTAACAACATTTCCTGGAAACAACATGACTGCATAAATACAACACTTTCGGTCTTCTGATGACCAAGTCACAAGAAAAATTGTGTACTATTGTGAACCAATATGTTTGCTTGTATTTAAAAAACAATTATAACAATTTACCCACATTCTATTGGTGAACATTATAAGAAGTATGACCAAAATAAAAGATTACACAAACATCTCATTCTTGATCTTAGCTAGATCAACAGAACACTCTGCAACCCAAAACCATTGGTTTATCTTACGTTCTGTTGTTTCATCGGGAAATGTTCGGTAACTATCCATAAATATGATGAAAACCCAAATCCTTTTCTGCTATGCCAGCAGGAACTCCACTGATTTTTGCAGTGTAAGTTCTCACTCTCAAAATAAGGTCAATCGATTTGATCATGTGACTCTCCTTGCTCCTGTGCTAATGCATGCAGAGCAGCAACAAGTGGGACATGCGCACAACTCACACAAAAGGAACAAAAAAAACACCAGATTATAACCAGCAACAGTTTTAAAATGGGTTTTTCCGGTAGAGTAAATGGTAGTTAAAAAACAATGGTTTTCTAATTTGCTTAATTTTGCAATGACTCACCCCCCCCCCCCCCAACCAAAAAAAGAAGACAAACAAACAAACAATTAAAAAAAAAGATTATAGCCAGCAACAGTATTTTAATAGGTTTTTCCAGTAATGTACATTTGTAACTGGTAGTTAAAAAAATAACGGTTTTACAATTTGCTTAATTTTGCAAGTAACTCATCCCCCCCCCCCACAAAAAACACGCAAACAAAAAGATTATAGCCAGCAACAGTATTTTAATAGGTTTTTCCAGTAGTGTAAATAGTTTTTTTTTTTTTTAAATGGTCTTTTCAATTGTTTTATTTTGCAATGTAGAGTAAATGAAACTAATGTAATGTTTATTTTGCTTACCAGACATGTTAGCCCCTGCCATAATGCCTGTGATACCGTTGAAGACGATGGCAAAGACTATTAAGAAGCTCTGTTGGTCCCTGGTGGTGTAATCCTCCGTATAATTGGCTAAAAAGTTGAAAAACAATAATACAGTAAAATAGTATTAAACAACACGTACATGGATTCGTTAAACAACATCATTATATAACTAGACATATAATACTTGTTTGGAACAAGTATAGGTGGGCTGGTCAACTAAAATTTGAGACAAAATAGAGCAAAAATAAGCGACATACTGCTTACAAATTCTTAAAAGACAATATCATGTAGATTCATAACGTGAACTAAATTCACCTTCTATAGGCATAACACGCAAATTATGAAGTTTTTGACATGAGGCCTTTAATCAAAATTTTCACTATGATGACGTCATCAAAATGAAAATTGGTTATTACTGCGCTTGTAGAGAATTGTCTTAGCTACAACATATCGAAATTTTGAAGAAAATTGATCAATATTTACAGAGATACAATCAATTTTACATAAATATGCTGACGTCATAATATGCAAATTCGTATTTTGAGTTCCAAGGCCATTGTGATGATGTCACGATACACTTAATGGCCAAATGAGACATGGAATCATATCTCCGACTCATACTCTATCTAAATAAGAAAAAAATTGAGGATCCCGGTGCATTCCAAAGAGCTATAAACGATTTTGTATAGGCATGTTTTTGCCCATATATGCTATGTATTAAAAGAGCTCGCGCGCACTGACATTTATCTTGAATTTACGCTCATCTTGTTAATAATGGTCATAAAGAGATAAACATGGTATCAAATTCCTTGAAAAAATATGAGAAATATCATGAAAGAAAAAAAATGGCGATTCTATGTTTTTTAATGGTGTTACGCGCGAAAACGCGCGCGCATGCTCGTACGCGCGATTTTTTATAAAATGCTTAAAATGACCTGAAACGTATGCAAAATAAATTTGAGACGATTTTGAGCATTTAAAAAAATTGCGCGCGCACTGACGCGCGGACGTACGCGCATGGACTGATATTGACCTTGATCATGATAAATATGAAAGAGAAATAACCTTTGGTTATGAAGATATGATCAAGAGTTTATTTTCAGAAAATTTCACAAAATGGCGCCTAGATGACGTCATCAGTCAAGGTCAAGGTTAAAATCCTTACCTTGCTTTGTTCATATGCCTATACATACATGTATGTCTTCCAAATTTCAAGTTATTTGATTGAGCCATTGTCAAGTTATCTTCCTAACAAAAAAGTGGTTCAAAATATAAAAAAATAAAATAAATAATAAATAATAATAAAGGCAATTTTAACAAAATTATAAGGTGGTCTGTATTAGATACAGCCCACCTGAATATGTAAATATTTATACGCTTACCTATACACTGGCCACTGATCTAGATCAAAACATCTTTTGTTACTGTCATTCGTTTGTTGAAAGGTTATACAAATGACAAGGTCATACATTACATGTAGGTTTGTTCTTTCCTTTAAAATGTCCATTTACATCATGACTGATGACCCAATTTTCACAGTTTTAAATATATTAATGATAAGAATAATACTTTTATAATAGTCACATTTGCATGACGCTTAATATTATGTTAGCAAGTGCTTTACATTGTCATTATTATTAATCCATTCATTGGATTAAATTGCTAATCCACATATCAGTTCAGTTTTCAGTTTCAAGTTTTATTTCTGCATTTTCCATAAACAATAAAAAAAAAAATAACAATGAATACATTTTAGCAATATAATGATAAGTAATACAAGTAGTAATTCACAAATAAATAAATATAAATAATCAATAGTACAATTAATCGTATTTGAAAAGAAAGAAAAGGGGGAGAATGCAGAAGACCGATATCTAAGCAGAGCTTGAAATGATACCGGCCTTACAAAAGGAGGAGAGGAGACAGGAAGAAATCATAATCCACATATGATAGTGCACACATCCTGCTCCCTGGAGAGTATTCCAGCCAGACGCCATTTTTTACAAGCAGCAAATTAATGTCTTGCAAAAGGATAATACCGTAAATCTCTGTGTATAAGGCGCACCTGTGTATAAGGCGCACCTGTGTATATGTTGTTTTGTTGCCGAAAACCCATGCGGGGAAGGACCTTCATTTAACATCGAGGTGCAGTCAAAGGCTCTGATTTGTGCTTGTAAACTTGTCACAAATAATAGTAACAATGTTGTTTTTAGAAGAATGTGTATGATCATTAATGTAAATTAAAAACAATAGAGTACCTAGGTCCTAGGATAGAACCTTGTGGTACACCATTTGTTATATAAAAAAAATGAGGAATTATTACTATAAACTACATATTTGAGATCTATTAGAAAGATTACTTTTAAACCAAGAGGACAGAAATTTTTTAGTGTTGTTGTAGTTTCCGAGTGGTGAGTTAACACACTGATTACTGAGCTGGAGACATTGCCAGGCATAGCGCCATAAATCGAAACCTAAAAACTTTTTATAAAAAATTTAAAAAAAAAAATCTGTACCTGTGTATAAGGCTCACCCCCGACTTTCAATTTTTTTCGGCGGCAAAAAAGTGCGTCTTATACACGGAGATTTACGGTAGGGTCACAGCGGGACTCAAACCATGAAACATGTGATCTACAGCTCGGCGACATATTTAATTGATCACCACACCTCTAAATGAATGAAGGTTCAAGGTTGAAAGTAAGAAGTCATAAAAATGGTACAAATATGTACCGGTAGTAGTCATGGACTTTGTACAGAGGGTTGGGTAAAAAAAAAAGACGCCCCTCCAGTGACTACATGTACATCGTTCTAGTATAAAGAGATGATTGGTAACTACAAAATCGAAAAAATAGGAATGGAAACGGACATACTTAAGCTTTTCATCTTGCCCTCATCAGAGTAAATCAGATGAATCTTGGATAGATATTTAAGTATATTTTGAAATTGGGAAGAAATACTGAAGTGTTTGAGGAAAGGACTTGGTCTAAAAATTTCAATTCAATTCATTCTTTTCAATCATAAAACCACAAAAGTAACATGAAACAATCATAATCTTACCATTTTGGAATGAAGAAATTGGAGACTAAAAAGGAAGTTTGAAAAACTTACAAAAAAGATTGTCCTCTAGAGTTTGAAGACTAAGTCCTGTATAGTTGGCCGTTGAGTTGTGGGGTATAAGCACATTGTCCACAGGTAACTCCACCACCAATGGTCCCTGGATGAAAGCGTTGACGATGATGGTGACGATGGCCGCGAGGACGGTGAGGAAGATGATGCCAGTGAAGCGAGCAAACATCTTAGCTCCGATGAGACACACCAGGAAGCAGAACATGAGGACCGATGAACTGTAGAGGAAGGTCCACCAACGCGCTTCAGACCCTCCCGTAGGTATGCCATTACGGACAATCGAGCCTGGAGGGAGCCGAAATGAAAATTATTTCAATTTTCTGAACTTGAACTTAACGACTTAACTCTGTTTTGTTGACGAACAGCCATGCACAAAGAAGACGAAAGACTTGATGCATGGCTGATCGTCAACGAAACGGAGTTAAGTCTTTTGTCAACTCTGTTTGTTGCTATGGCAGGCAGCAAGTGAAAACGAATTCGTTTTTAAATCAATTTATGGAAATGCAAGCATTACTTTAAACAAACAGAACTTTGTTATTCCTGGCTCATTTTTCCTGATTGAGGTGTCATATGAAAGGCCAGAAATTGAACTTTCTAGAAATGTGATTTTCTCTTTGGAAATTCGGATAATGCCTTTTTGGGTACCCTTTCTTCAAATTGTTTTTAATCCCTCCTGTGTGAAATATATGGATCATATGAGTTGCATCAAATAAAAGAGGAGGATCTAAGCTTTACAAATATGTGTCATTTATCAATTATAATTGTGATTAAATTATGATAAAAATATCGATAATTCTTGGGGTTTTTTTTCTGGGATGCACTGTATGGTAGAGGGCGCACGTAGTGGGGCCTTAAAAGACATAAGACCACAAAGGTCTCACTCTCACTGCTTCAAACTCACCTGACGATCCAAAGTTGTCTTCCAAAATTTCAGTGAAGGCACTGCAGTTGAAAGCACAAGAGAAGACATTAGCCAAGTAAAATATGAATCCAATACTGCCACCGAGCTCTGGTCCTAGAGCACGGCTGATCATAACTGAGAAATTTCGTCAAGGATTTTGCCATGATAAGTTTTTTTGTTTTCTTGAGCAGGTTAACATTGAACAGTGAGTCACGACTTCGAGAATTTCAAGATATCTTTTACAGAACAGGTAGAGTACATGATTCAACAAACAAACAAAGTTTCACCTAAATTTGTACATGAATTTTATTTTGGTGAGATACTATGACAGTGAATCCTGCCTACTCCCCCCCCCCCCCCATCATTTTGCATTTCAAGGATACAGTAAGCTCCGCCCCCTTCTACTGCTCCATTGGTTGAGATTGCACACAGCGAGAGAACGGTGAGCATAACGATGAAATACCCCAGTGTAAACATGCCAATTGTTTCCAAGAGGCCTGCATGGCCAATGGCAAAACCTGCAGGAAGAAAAAAATACAAGTTTTGAAATTTACATTTATTTCATTCTCATACACGATAGAAATATTAAGATAAAAAAACAAAGAAAAATGCTTTCAAGAGTCACTAACATACCGTATATGACTACATTTGTAGAATATAGCTCCTATAAAAAAGAGGTCAATGTAATATTTGAGGAAAAATCTAATACTACATGTAGATCGCAAATTTGGTACCATTAAATTTTAAATTGTATTTAATCAACGTCTAAACACAAATTAGCAACCAATATAAAATTGTTAGTGAGCACTACTAAAGGAAAGAGCTGCTTTCGATATAAATGAAAGGGCAGCACATTCGTGTTTGACTTTGAAATCTATTAAAAAAAATCTTGTTATTTATAAACATTTGATTTTCCTTACACATTCCCTGATCTGAATTTTTATTGTTTTCTGCTTTTATTGAAGTCAACTTGATTCAAGGCTGGACTTCCTGTTAGTGTTCATTAGATTTCTTTAAAAATACTGTACTGACAAAGTCAGTATTTATTACTAATCTCAATTCAAAATAGTCAAATATGTTCTTACAGGTATCTCAATTTTCATCTTCAATCATCTTGAAACCAAACTATGACAGGTAAATACATTTGTTATTTGTCATAGAAATTAGAAATGCTTGGGATGAATCGTTTCATTGTCCTTGTATTGATCTCCTTAAGTCACCTTACACCAAGGTGACACCCTTGACAACTCAACTGAAAGTCCATTTGGACAACACTAAGTTTTGTAATTGTTTCCATGAAGTTCCTTCACGTACATGTACTTCAAGCTAATGAGGTCATGTACATGTATGCACACAAAGGAACTTCATGGAAACAATTACAAAACCTGATCTCTTCAAAGAGCATTATACTGGCCATGACCCAATACATGTACACTGTGTAAACGTCACTTGATCATGTGCATACATGACACAATGACTCATGAATTACATGTATGTGCACATGAAAATGTATAAACATGTACGATTAACAACAAGCTTTATTTTTGTATAATTATTTCATCTTTAGTAAGATTAGGCATAATACACATTACTGTACATACATGCACATGTGATCTGATATGCAGACTTTGTATTCAATAAATACCATGGTAATGATCTTTGTACCTTGTGTTTGACTTCTGAGTTACACTGGATTGAAAGTCAAGCAAGAACAATTACATATTATCAAACTACACTGAACTTTGTATGAGAACTGGCCTCCAAAATGACCAAAAAGTTGCCAGAAATGATATTTTAAAAAAGGAGATATGAGTGACTTAAACCAATTAAAAGAGGGAAGAATATCCAATCCTCCAAAATGACCAAAAAGTCACCAGAAATGATTTTAAAAAAAAGAAGAGATATGAGTGACTTAAACCAATTAAAAAAAGGGAAGACTATCCAATCACAAAGAATATTAGTTCAGTTAAAAAGGGTGTTACAGCTGTACATGTACTTAAAGGTCTGTAGTCTATTAAAGGGAACCAAAATCTTCATACCAAGTTACTTTTATTATAAAGTTTAAGATATTTGAATAAAATCAGTGAAAAATGGAACAAAATCGGGCAAGGAATACGGAAGTTAAAGCTTTTTTTAAATGACTAGTCACTAGAGGGCGATATTTAATTTGATGACATCATTTGTGGACAACTCTCCATGCCTCTTGTACATCAAATTTCACAATTCTTTCTTGATCCGACTTTATAACATGTGAAGTAGAATATCATTTTGCATTCTATACCTTGCTTTCAGGGGAGTAGATTATCTCAACCACAAGAACAGTAGGGGCGCTGGTCCGAGAATGAGGATCGTCCTCATAAACAAGGATATCCTCATAAACGAAGACAAAATGTGTCCTCAAAAATAAGGGTCGTCTGCATTTTCGAGGATGTTTTTTTTCATCGGCGCTCTGGGGGTTTCATGTTACAGAACGGCCCGCTGGAGATGCCAAAAATGGATTCCCCGGGGGAAAATAACCCTAGTTGTCCGTCTACTTTTATAGGTTGTCCGTCTTCCCAAGGATTTATTGCTCATAATGTGTAGTCTTCTGTACAAAGTCAATGTAAATTGCATCAAGAAAATCATTGCAGAATCCGTTTTCTGCATCGCCAATGCGCCGATCAAAAATATGAAACGTCTGCAAAAATGCAGACGGTCCTTATTTTTGAGGACGCATCCGTCAGTGTTAAAGAAGACGATCCTCGTTTATGAAGACGATCCTTATTCTCGGACCAGCGCCCCTACTGAAGAAAGAAGGAAAAACATGAAATTTGATGTACAAAGGGCATGGAGAGAGCCGACGTCGACCCTACCCAAACAAGAGGCTTCACGAACGAAAGAGACTGAAAATTCGCTCTAATACAAGTCTAGAGCTAGATCTAGATCTACTGCGTCTAGATAATGATTAAAATTTATAACAAACAGTTACAAAAATAGGATGAACATGAATAACAAGCACGTAAAGATGATACTTGATAGACCCTTATAGAGTTAAACTTTTCAACTTTATACATACAGTCTCTATTTTAAACGTTTGTAATACACAAAGAGACATAACTTCACACATGCACAAGTGACAAGACTTACAAATATACAATTCATTGACATTTAGACTAGGAGTAGGAGTATGACTAGATCTGGCGAGCTGGCTCAGTCGGTAAAGATCCCGGGTTCAACTCCCACCCAGGCGGATGACTGAAGCCTGCGTTGTGTGTTAACGTGCCCCTTCCCTTGTTCATAGACGCAGGTTGTGTCAAGTGGAAAACACTCCGTCCCTCGGATAGGACGTTATATTGAGGCCCCGTGTAAAGAAGAGTCGCTACCTTTGCACGCTAAGAACCCACTGCACTATTCGTATAAGAGTAGGGGGAAACCCCGGTTTAGTGGTCCATCTGCACACACCCCCAGTATAGTACGATAATACTCTGTATAGATCTAGAGGTCTGAAGAAGAAGAAGAAGATCTAACAGTTAGACCTCTAGATCTAGATCTAGTTCTACGACAAGTTCAACATGTTTAATTTTAACTTAAGTTGACAAAGAAAAAACATGACAAAGAAAACTCACCAACACGCAAAAAGAGAATGGCACTGAATATGGACAGTACACATGGCATAAAACAGCCAAATAAGGTGGACAAATTTCGGGCACTATTATGAGGGCTTGTTGAAATACTCCTGTCCAACTCGTATCGAAGCAACGGAGTTCCCTCGTCTCCTGACGCCCCACTCGTGGCTCCAGCAGGGGCCCGGCCTCCGTTAGGCATCTCGACACCGGTAAACGTCATGTTGTTGTGTGATCCTTCGTCTAGTCCGCCGTATGATACTGTTTTAGAACTTGTGGCTGTCATAACGGTGTATTATTATCTCCGATATACATGAGAAGAACTATGACCCCATAAATTCAGTATCAAAGTCCAAAGATTATGTCAACAAGAACCAACGATGCCATTGAATTTTGGCGACACAACAAAATCTTGCCAAGCCTGATGATCGCAATGTTTTGGTCACCTGATCCAATCGGTGTGCTGGTAGGAAAGTAGACGTTAGCTGGCGCTCTAACAGTAAAACATGTAGAGTACCTATATATAGAGAGTAGCGACAACTTGCGCATAGACGCCATTTTGTTTCACTCGCCCGGTCGCGAATTTTTTTTCCGTACTCGAGAGGGCAAATACCCCATGTGCGCATGCGCGTGGACTTGTGATTTCTCTGCTACTTCCCATACGAAATGTACATGTATTCGCATCTACTGTGCACGATTCGCGTTCTACGAGTAAACGATGGCATAGTAGTCTTCAAACACAGACTCTGATTTGCCAGTTTGACAAAACAATTACGCATATATCGTGCGTAGCAATAGTTAGTATTCAAGTCTGAGTAGTTGTATGATTCAGACATTTTAGTGCTTACAGAAATGCATCCCAAATTGAATAGCATGGTATAGTAGTCTGCAAGCACAGACGCTAATCGGACAGTTTGACAACATAGTGTCTTGAGTAGTGCTTTATATTCAAATATGTGTAGTTTTATGATTCAGACCCTACTGGTGCGTGTATTGGAAAGGCATCTCAACTTGCAGAGTGGCATAGTAGTCTGCAAGCACAGACGCTAATCTGACAGTTTGACAAAATAGTGTTATTCAAGTCTGAGTAGTTTTATGATTCAGACCCTACTGGTGCGTGTATTGGAAATGCACCTCAACTTATAGAGTGGCATACTACTAGTATGTTGTCAAACTGTCAGATTAGCGTCTGTGCTTGCAGACTACTATACCATTCTATACAAGTTGCAATGTATTTCCATATGCACTACTGGGTCTGAATCATACAACTACACAGACTTGAATAAGCACATCGCGACACATACGCATATTGATTTGTCAAACTGGCAAATCAGAGTCTGTGTTTGAAGACTACTATGCCATCGTTTACTCGTAGAACGCGAATCGTGCACAGTACATGCGAATACATGTACATTTCGTATGGGAAGTAGCAGAGAAATCATAAGTCCACGCGCATGCGCACATGGGATTTTTGCTCTCTCGAGTACGGAAAAAAAATTCGCCGCCCGGTCTACCGCGCGCGCGCGCAGTGCATGTATTAGTCCATGGGCCAGACCATGGCAGATATTGGTACCACCAGAGGTGGCAAAACCTTTGTACTTTTTTTTTGTTTGTTGGGCATATATACGTGTAAAAAGTTATGATAGCATTTCCGAATGGACAGCTTAGTCGTATAATCAGCAGTTTCCATGGCAACACAACAATCAAACCGGTATTATTCAAAGAAACAGTTAAAGTCATTTACAAATTATAAAAACACTCTTGAATGCGTAAAAATGTACAGTTTAGAATACCTCACCATAAAGGAAAGTAATGAAATGCAAATTACATTACCATTTATAACGGTTGCCATGGTAACGACCCCAGAATAGCCCAAAATCAAGGATTTTGGAGTAATTTCAGTATTATATTACACAATATGCTGATTCAAGACAAGTTAAAGTCTCCTTACCAAATTATTGAAAAACTATATGACTAATCTATCATATAAGCCAAGAATATGTTATATAGTGCCTTCCCATTGTTACCATGGCAACATGAATTAGAGTTAACAAGATGCCCTGTAGGGTACGATATGCCATATTTTGGCTATATCTTGGGATAGGAGAGGTGTTGAAAGTTCATTTTGATGTCTATACCCAGGTTTTCAGGCACAGGGAACACAGCTAAAGCATTATTTTGAACATTAACATAGGACATCACCGCTATTTTTCATACATTTGCATAAAATCAGAGCAAAATGACCATGAAAGTATTCTGCCACTGCATATTACAAGCTGTTTCTTAGGGTTTAGAAAGATATAACATTGTGATGACTACATTAGATGCCAGAAAACTTCATTTGATTGTATGCAATGCTGGAACCAGCACAGATCATCCATCTCATTAATTTGTTTGCTATTGTATCAAAACCCAGACACCCTCTCTAAATGCCCAAACCAGACCTACCATAACCTCGACGATGTCCACATAATTATGACATCCAAAAGGCCGAGAGGGTCCGATTCTCCTGTATCGGGTAATCAAGGTAGACATCAAACAGCTTGAAGATGGGCTCAAAGGACTGATTCTCAATCATCTCACTTACGCAACATCTTCAGATAGGCTGTTCACGACTCTTGAGGCTTTCATCCAGGTGAACCTGGTCGTTAGTGTGGTTAGTTTCTAGACAGGGTAGTAAACCTTTCCTTATGCCTGTCGCATAAATGCCTCGTACAACAACTTGACTGCACGGTTGTACTTGCAGAATTCCATCACTCCAGCTACGGAGCTTATAGCGATGACACCTGACTCTACACATAGGTCCCTTAGTCCAGCATCTTGAAACATCTTCTCAATGGGTGACCACAGTGTGCATAACATGCCAAGAGATATACATCCCAGGGTCTTCACAGTTTTGATACAATAGCAAACAAATGGTCATTAATGAGATGAATCTGTGCTGGTTCCAGCATTGCATACAATCAAATGAAGTTTTCTGGCATCTAATGTAGTCATCACAATGTTATATCTTTCTAAACCCTAAGAAACAGCTTGTAATATGCAGTGGCAGAATACTTTCATGGTCATTTTGCTCTGATTTTATGCAAATGTATGAAAAATAGCGGTGATGTCCTATGTTAATGTTCAAAATAATGCTTTAGCTGTGTTCCCTGTGCCTGAAAACCTGGGTATAGACACCAAAATGAACTTTCAACACCTCTCCTATCCCAAAATATAGCCAAAATATTGCATATAGTACCGTACAGGGCATCTTGTTAACTCTAATTCATGTTGCCATGGTAACAATGGGAAGGTACTATTACATATTCTTGGCTTATATGATGTATTAGTCATTATATTTTTTCAATAATTTGGAAAGGGGATTTAAACTTGTCTTGAATGGGCATATTGTCTAACATATTACTGAAATTACTCCAAAATCCTTGATTTTAGGCTATTCTGGGGTCGTTACCATGGCAACCGTTATAAATGGTGTTGTAATTTGCATTTCATTGCTTTTCTTCATGGTGAGGTATTCTAAACTTTCATTCTCTGGGCCTGAAAACCTGGATATAGACACCAAAATGAACTTTCAACACCTCTCCAATGCCAAAATATAGCCAAAATATGGCATATAGTACCGTACAGGGCATCTTGTTAACTCTAATTCATGTTGCCATGGTAATAATGGGAAGGTACTATATATAGCATATTCTTGGCTTATATGATGTATTAGTCATATAGTTGTGTCATTATTTTGGAAAGGGGACTTTAACTTGTCTTGAATGAGTATATTGTGTAATATATTACTGAAATTACTCAAAAATCCTTGATTTTAGGCCATTCTGAGGTCGTTACCATGGTAACCGTTATAATTGGTGATGTAAATTGCATTTCATTACTTTCCTTTATGGTGAGGTATTCTAAACTGTACATTTTTACGCATTCAAGAGTGTTTTTATAATTTGTTAATGACTTTAACTGTTTCTTTGAATAATACTGGTTTTATTGTTGTGTTGCCATGGAAACTGCTGATTATATGACTAAGCTGTCCATTCGGAAATGCTATCATATCAAAATATTATGTATAGATATAGGACATTTCAAAATCCATAAGTAGATCTTGCCACCTTGAGTGGTACCAATAACCCAAATTTCTGGTCTTGGCCCATGGACTAATAGCGCTGCGCTGCGCTGCGGAGTGAAACAAAATGGCGCCAGGAGTCACGTGACCATCAAATTCCGGTCCCCCTATGTCGCTACTCTCTATATATAGGTACTCTAAAAACATGCACGTCACATTGACTGGTTTGGAAGATAAGTAAGATTGTCGAAAAATAACAGAAAATGCCCGCTGGCCAGTTGAAAGAAGAGTTATTCAGTGTTAGCCTATTCTAAATGTTGACACGTTTAGGAAAGTCATCTGTATTGGGGTACATCAACTTTGGGCCAAATGAGGCTCTTTAATGCGACCATAAATCTTCAAAGTCACATCCTTCCTTCTTCCTCGCCTTCCCCGCCCGCTCCCGTTCATCGTTACCTTCATCATCATTATATTAACCTTCATTAT